TCATACTCGGAGCCTAGGAGCCCTTCGAGGACAATCATCGACACCTCCCTGGCAGGTCTGAACGAATTGCCCATGGTTCTCCCCATGTCACAGGTTTATACGACTTTCGACTGGACCCGAATTCCCGTCGACGACCCAAATCTTGGCCCTCATCACCGCTTCGCACGCTCTGTTGACTGGGCTTCTACGCCCTTGGGGCCTGTGGAGGAGTGGCCGGCGGATTTGCGCATCATGTCAAATATGATCATGGGCAGCCCCCATCCGGCAGCGCTGTATTGGGGCGAGGAGTTTGTCGCCATCTACAACGAAGCCTACATTGCGCTTGCCGGGAAGAAACATCCGCAATTGATGGGCGCCAAGTATAAAGAAGCGTGGCCAGAAATTTGGGATGAGGTCGGACCAATCTTCGATGCCGCATGGAATGATGGAAGCGCGACGATGAGGCACGATGACGGGTTGTTCATAATACGGCATGGATTCTTGGAGGAAACCTTTTTCAACTGGGCTGTTATCCCCTTGGTCGGCGGTGACGGTACGGTTGTCGCACTTTACAACCCGGCCTTCGATAACACCCGGCGGAAGATCAACGAGAGGCGGATGCTGACCCTTCGCGAGGTGGGAGTACAGACGTCGGAGGCTCGCGACGTGAAAGGCTTCTGGGGTCTGCTTGTGCAGGGTCTGGAGTACAATGGACTCGATGTGCCCTTTGCCCTCATCTATTCGGTTGCGGAGGATTCCGAGAGCGAGGCTGCGTCTATCAACTCTGGCAGTGTCACGAATCCACCCCAGATCATACTGGAGGGCTCCGTCGGTGTTCCCAAGGGACATCCCACTGCTATTCAATCGATTGATTTGCGGACTAGCGATGAGGGTTTTGCGCCATATATGAGAGACTCCATGGCACACCCAACCAATCCCATTATTCTGAGCGAAAGCGATGGCAGCCTACCCCACGAGTTGATCGAAGGTTTTGACTGGAGAGGATTTGGTGACCCCTGTCGGACTATTGTTGTCTTCCCCGTCCATCCTACGACGGCTGGAGACATGGTTGTTGGATTCATCGTGCTTGGTGTTAACCCCCGACGACAGTACGATGAGGATTACAAGCTATTTGTCAACCTGCTCTCCCGCCAACTTGCGACATCCATGGCGTCTGTGGTCTTGTTCGAGGAGGAGATCAAGCGAGGCCAGCGGGCTGCACGCTTGGCTGCTCTGGATAAGCAGCAGCTTTCAATGCAGCTTCATCTTCGAACCCAAGAGGCTGTTGAGAGTGAGTATCGCTTTGCGCGCATGGCAGAACTTGGCCCGGTCGGTTTGTTCATCGCCGATAGTCATGGACGTATCAACTACTGTAACGAGATGTGGTGGAGGATCTCTGGGCATGAGCGGAGCGCAAGCACCCTCGACGCTTGGATGCAGAGCATAAGGGACGAAGATCGCGAAGGTGTTGTGAATGTCTGGCGTCATTTGGTCGAGGAGAAGGTACCGGTGACTTACGAGTTTCGATTCAATGGTACGCGGAAAATTGTCGATGGCCACACCGTTGATACATGGGCTCTGATGAGCGCGTACCCCGAACGAGACGAAACCGGTGAACTCAAGAGCATCTTCGGATGTATAACCGATATCTCGCAGCAAAAGTGGGCCGAGGACTTCCAGAAACGAAGACGCGATGAGGCTGTTGAACTCAAACGCCAACAAGAAAACTTCATCGACATCACCAGCCATGAAATGCGAAATCCCCTCAGTGCCATTCTTCAGTGTGCCGACGAAATTGCCTCGGGACTTAACAAGTTCCGGCAAGAGGACCCGGCGTTCCGAGGGCCCGACACTTTGGAGACGCTGGTTGATAGCTGCCTGGAAGCTGCCAACACCATTTCCCTCTGCGCTAGCCACCAGAAGCGAATCGTCGACGACATTCTGACCCTCTCGAAACTCGACTCGCAACTCTTGCTTGTGACACCGGTCGATGTTCAGCCAGTCCAGGTTGTGGAGGAAGTTTTGAAAATGTTCGAAGCCGAACTCAACTCCAATGACATCAAAGGTCATTTCCAGATCGAGCAGTCCTATCGCAATCTCGAAATCGACTGGGTGAAGTTGGACCCATCACGCCTGAAACAGGTTCTCATCAACCTCATGACCAACGCCATCAAGTTCACCCAGGGCCGACCGACACGGGCAATTACCATCAACTTGGGTGCCTCAAAGGATGTGTCATCGGCCGGGCTTTCGTACTTCCCACCACGGCATCCAGACCAAGAGGACCTTACGGACGACGCAGAGTGGGCTACCGGCGAGAAGATTAACCTGCACTTGGCAGTTTCAGACACCGGACCGGGTCTTGATGAGAATGAGAAGAAGATCCTCTTCCAGCGATTTTCCCAGACCAGCCCCCGAACGCACGTCCAATACGGCGGCTCTGGGCTAGGACTCTTCATCTGCCGGATACTAACCGAGTTGCAAGGCGGCCAGATTGGAGTCTATTCCGAGAAGGGCGAGGGAAGCACATTTGCTTTCTATGTCAAGAGTCGTAAAGCGGAGAACCCGCAGCCGGTTCCGACTGTTGTCGACAACTCGATGTCCATACAGCCACTTCAGATGCGTGTCAACCCCCTAACACAGGCTCAGATCAGCCACCGGTCATCAGGATCAGCCGCATTCTCTCTGCTCGGACACGGCCGGTCACATCCGCCACCTACCAGAACACAATCCGCTCCCGCCCTCACGGACGTCACCCAGACAAGATCCCTTGACGTCCTCATTGTCGAAGATAATTTGGTGAACCAGAGAGTCTTGCAGCGTCAATTGCAATTGTCGGGTAATAACACGTTCGTGGCCAACCATGGCGGAGAGGCATTGGTGGAGTTGAGAAAGTCTCGCTTCTGGAATGAGGAGATCGCTGCGACGGACGATGCTGCATCAGCTCTCCCGAGGAGCAACAAGAAGGCCGCAAGCGATGGCGGAACCGATGGCGCGCCTGATGGTGAAGAAAACAACAAGAACATATCTGTCATCCTCATGGACCTCGAGATGCCGGTCATGGACGGAATGAGCTGCACTCGCGAAATTCGTCGTCTAGAAAATGCGGGCGTCATTACGCGGCATATTCCCATTATTGCCGTCACTGCGTACGCACGGCCTGAGCAGGTCGAAAGTGCCAGGGCCGCTGGTGTGGTAAGTCTTTTTTTTTCTCTCTCCGCTGATCAGCTTTTTTTTTCCGGGAAAAAGGAAAGAGCGAAGAATGTCTGCTGACCGAATTTTTTTCTGTGTAGGATGACGTCATTTCTAAACCGTTCAGACTACCCGAGTTGATACCCAAGATCGAAGAGTTGGTTCTCAAATACGATGGAGAGCCATAGTGATGGGCGAACGGATCGGGAACTAGGTTGCTGCTGCGAAGCTTCAGTTTGACGGCTCATTGAGTCCAATCATCTCCAGCTTCACTCCATCACTACCACAAGCACAAGGCAATGGAACTCATTCAGCAGAGTTCTATGCTCAGAGTCATTGCGATGGTTGTTCGTTCTTGCGTCTCGGCTGCTATCTGGAGACAAGGTATTCCCAGTACCGCAAGTCTCCGTACCGTACGGTTGACCCAGAACGAGCACGCCTAGGAAATGTAGCGTGCACGACTACTAGGTCGATGCCCGGGGATAAAGATCTCCGAGGGATATACAGAGCACACGAGTACCAAGAGAGGAAGTGTCAGGAAGTCATTGGTAGGAAAGGGCGGGATGCAAGAAAGCACGCCAAGTTGTGTGTAATGGGGTTTCGAAGAAGGTTAAACAAATCGGTAGCAACAAGGAGGACTTCGTTGGAATTGTGTGTTATCGTGCTTGCTAGTCACCAGCTGGTACTGGCAGAAGGAAGGAACGAAGGGTGAAAATGGGTGGATGAGCGTGCTTGCGGTTCGGTTGCGAGATGCGTTGTGTGGAAACTGGAAAGCAGATGCAAGGAAGCAGGGAACAAAGTATTTTGGATCTTGCATAAGCAGAAATTTATATACCATACCATTCATCGGCATGCATATTATGCGCCAGTAGCCCATTGAAATTCACTCCTGGCTCATCTCTTTCCGTTCGCGTTGCTTTCTTGTCTTTGTCTTCGCAAGCTCTTTTTTGCGTTGTACCTTTTTGGGAGTAAAGGTGGTTTTATGAGAAAATAGCTTGTCGGAGGAAGGTGATGGAATAAGAAGTTATTCTGGTTGAACGACTTAATCACTGACGAAAAGAAACGAAGGTAGTTAGTTACCAAGCTCACCTTTTCAAGCGTCCACTTCCTCGGTTTTGCTTTTCTCTTCCCGTTCGTTCAACCATTATTACTCCAATCCCTTACTTCAAAAACCCTTCTGAGTCACTCACATCGTGAATCTCACAAACTCATTCACATTTGAAGCGAAAGGCTGTGCCTAAGTAACAAACCAACAATTGAATCAAGATCTTTACCTACCTAGCTAGCCACCAGATCTCTCCTTGAACGAGCATTCAACATTGTAGAACCCCCATTGGACACTTGGTGACTGTCATCGCAATTTGAAGTGTCCGTTCATCAACAAACAGGTGATTTAAGTTATCTGGAGCCAGCCATTTGGTCATTGGGTGATTGGTTTTTCTTAACTACTCACCCATCTCTCGTGGAGACTGGAGGATGTTGCAATAGGTCGCAACTTCCACAGCTATCTCCACCAGTGAATGACTACGTACCTACTGTTTGAGCAAGCCTACCTTTACCAGACAGAGAGTCGAATGGCAAGTTTGGCTACGAGCTACCTAGTTTACTCGTTCAGTTTACTTTTAGATTTCAGTAACTCCTTCCCTCATGTATGTCCAGCGGGCGCACGCGCTGGTTAGGACTCAACGTATCAGCACAGTGAAGGGAGTGGCTTGCCACTTGCCGCTTGGCCGAAGTGGTCACACAAACCGTTGATGAGGCTGGCTGAGGTCGGCGTGAAGTCTAGACTCTAAATCGAGTTATGGTCAGCCGTTAGCAAAATGGACACTCATTTCCCGACTAACTGGATTAAATGGCTTCCAAAGGACAAGGAAAATAATCTTCTTATCAGTATGTCCCATGAAGTGTTGCTTCTCCTGTTCGTTAGTGACATCCCTGGTTTCTCGCTTGAAATGGGCGTCCAAGAAACTAAAAGCCGAGATTCGAATTCAGTATCAGCCAGCCCAGTCAATATTGGACGGCCCAGTTGGAATATCCGGCTAGTATTTAGTTCATCAGCCTCTGTGAAGTTGCTCAGCGAACAAAACTGTACGCTCCATAGCCCTTCGTGCCCTTCAGCCTGATCATGAACGATCCAGCTGCCGCTTCAATCTCGCTCATGGATGCCGCACACTGTCAGGAGGACACCCTCAGTCATGGAAAAGACGAATGAAGGAGGGTAGAAGGTGGTGACAGATATTCCAATCAAGATTGCATGTGCGGCTCTAGGCCCTCTCTCAAGCCACCCGGTGGCTACCTGTCGTGCCCTCTTCTTGGGAACACGGAATGCCCTTCGAACCGGTTCCCCAGGACGCCACCAAAAGCACAAACTCCCCAGGGGCGGTAGTGTCAGCGAACGTCAGCAACCGAAGTTGTTCGGGATAGGTTGGAAGTTTTTGTGGGCTTAAAGAGGGGCGTGTCACACCACCAAGCTGAAACTAGTAACCCATCAAAACCATCAGAGGGTGTCAACCACACAACCGGCGAGCTTGGGATGAGAAGCGGCCATGCCGAATGTTTGGGACGACCAATACAACATCAAGCATAGCGGAAGCAATTGCCCATTATATTCCGCTGGCATTTCCAAAGCCACTTCTGGAGAAGTGACCTTTTCGGGACGTCGTTTGTCATGTAATGACAACAGACATTTCCGGAAGAATCAGACTGATTCTGAGCAATCATCGATATGCTGCAGCTCTAGTTCTGACGGTCTTAGACGTACATTAGCTCGAGGAGCGAGGTCGTAGTGGTGATATCGTGACCGATCTCATTGGGATAGGGCTGCACCGCCAAGACACCATCTTGGTGTGAACCGTGGGAGGCCTTGGAAGGTCCACGCGTCAAGGAGGTTTATAAAAGCAAGACATCCACGCTTGTGGCTGAATTTGCCGACGGAATGGATCTTCTCGTCAATGGTCTCACCTGCTGCACTCATAAGTCATTTTCAACCCCAAATTCCTGCAAGGGAGAGAGCGAGGTGAAATATCAAGAACTCTCCTGCCTCTTCGCACTTCCATTTCTCGTTCCTGATCCCAATTGTTTAACAATATTCGAAAAATGGCGGGCAACAACAACGGCGATTTAGAAAGAGGTGGAGGGGAGGCACAGAAAGACACGAAACCACCACGCTCGCCACTTGGCTTGTTTAAAGGCTCGGTCGAATCACTGACACGCTGTTTGAGCCGATCATCCAAGGAATCCAAGCCCGCGTCAGAGACATCAGGCAAGAAATACGTCCATACGCCGACTCACGCAGCCGCTTCGCATCTCAAGACAACCAGGACGAGGAACATGGACCGGGCAAATGAAGTCCTTTGACCATATTGATGGGCAAGGCGTGAAAAGATATTCCACCTGAGGCGCAACTTGTTAGTAAGTAATGAAGAAGGTTCTTTTGAAAGTACAACGGGCTGACTGGGGGCAAACCTTAGGCGTCTTTGTGGAGCACGATGTTGATGAGCCAGACTACACCCTCAAGCACGAGACACCGCCTCAAGTTTGGTTCCACGCAACGAGCCTAGTCCAGAATGCTATCCTGCCTCGGAATCTGAGCGAGCGTCGAATAAGTCCGCACATTTCGAAGCCCTCAGCACAGGCCGAGTCACAGGAGGCGAGAGACTTCAAGCGACCAGGTCCAACATATGACGACGGATGGAAGACGACGAGTTTTAGATTCGTGATTGGTGGAAAGATGTGATCCGGGAATAGAGGACTCGCCGTAGGGGGAACATGGTTCGATAGGAAGCAGAAACACGACTGAAGCAGGTGATGGCGGTGATGGTACCCCAACTCTTAGACCCCAAGGCAATAGAAGACTCGAGGCGCAGTTGCTCGGATTAAAGGGCGACACTTGTGACCGTCGAGATGATTCCAATATTGAGTGGAGGGGATGAGCCCCATGTCAATTTCTCCTGGCTTTGCGTGAAACAGCTTTGCCCCCAAGGCACCTGGGAATTGTTGATGTACCGCTCGAAATATTGAACCGTTATAGGAAGTTGCTGAGCATCTTTCTTGGGCTGACCTTGTTGATTAGGGCCAAGGGCTCTCGAAGGGCTCGGAAATCTCGACGGAAACAGGCGCTCAGATCAAGGTGTAGATAGTCCGAAGCCGGTCAGTCGTATACCTAGCTGAGTAGTGAGTAGTAGCCAGGACCAGCACCCAGGGGTAACGGGGTGCCCCTGGCATTAGCGCAACACCAGGAACTGCACGTCAACATAGCCGTTCCCGCATCTGCACATCAGCTCTGTGATGCCCTCGAGAGGCTCTGTGTAAGCTCTGAATCGTATCCGAGTTGGGAGGGGCAGTGATGGTGATGATAAGCGTGGCGCAGCACCAATAGTGTCCCGTCGTTGGTGGTGATAGCCGCAGAGAGTAGCACTGGCGAAGCGGCGCGGCTGTACAAGCGCGGCAATTCAGGAGCAGGACTCAATGACCATGATGCTTGATTCAAATTTAATGGTCTCGGCAGGGAAAGACGACGTTGGTGACGACGTTGGTGACAGGAGCGAATCTCGCATGCGTGCGGTATCGACGTGGTACAAAGTCGGCCGGTTCGATGTGTCGATGCTTGTTGTTAATATCAGGAAGCCAATCAATTCCCTTCTGATACCCCACAGATGTTGTCCAATGTGATGGTGTTGGTTCTGTGAAGGATGTGATGTTGAGGAGAAAAAGCGACAAGTGGAAGGAGCCGAGGAGGAAAGGAAAGGAATCACCAGGCCTCGCTCCTCACTGGTCACCGCCCCAGGAGGTCCGGTTCGCACCTTCCCGCTCTTTAGCGCACGGCATCCGGCAACCCGCCCGTTAGCGGCTCAGGTACAGCGTGCACGTACCTGACGTTTTAGTGGAGAACCCCCTCCATTTCGGTGGGGTTTTGTTTCTTTCAGCGCTGTTGGTGTTTTGTTTCAGGCGGGCCGTGACTAACATGAATCTTCCCGTCGGTTCCCGTCATCCCGTCCCCCACCCAGGGCAGTTCGGCCTCGGACTCGTCCGGTCCCCCTCGGCACCCATCCCACCGTCATCTTCATCTCCCGCATCGGCCGACCTCATCTCCGCGTGATCAAAAACACGCCGGTCCACACACACTTCCCTCGGTCTGCTGCCGACAGGATAACACCCTCAGGAGAGGACTGACTAATCGAGCAAACCCCCAATCACTGCTGAAACGCTGCAGACTCAGCTCTTTGCGCCAATGGAGGTCGGGGAGAGACGACTAGACGGCGTATCCGGCCTTGACAGCAGCTGCCTGATTGATAACAGAATTTCTTGGCGAGTTCTTTGAGTGTTGGTCAAGCAGTACGAGTTGCTTCATGCTGAGACTGGACCAAGTGTTGGTGCGACGCTCCTGTCAGTCAGTCTCGAGGTGGCCTTGAAGGCAGCAGCAATTCATCACTCGGCCATCATGACCGGTGTGTGAGAGACTTGGCCATGCTGCGCCCTCGCCATACCCTACGAGCCTTCCTGAAAACGTGTTAAACGGTCATGAACGCCACCCCACAAGGCGAACAAGTGGCCTTCCCATTCTCGGGAACCACGCCAAGCGAATGGGGCCAGAGGAAGGTATCCAGATAAGCATTTGGATTTGTGCTACGGAACACGCCCGTGGTTGACACTGACATCCATGGCCAAAGTCTCTTATTCGTCAGTGAGGCCTACGGGCCAGTCCAGTCGGCATCGAGTAAAGAAATGCGGCCGAGTCCTGTCATCTGTTCGCGGGGAAATTCTGGGAACACAGCAATTTACAGAGGCCCGGACTATCGATAAAATCGCTGCCCTGACGCCGGTCGCCGCTGCTGTGTAAATCCACAAACTCGTCCGTTGCTACCCATCAAGCTGAATGGGTAGCCCTATGCACGGTTCGCCATGTATGAGTGAGTGCTGCCCCAAACACTGACCTGAGCCTTAGCTGGTTGGACGGCTGGCCCCAAGCAGTGTGCATTTTGCTACCTTTCTATTGCTCCCTCGAACCATGCTGTGCATTCTCTACTCATACCAAAAGTGGTATGCGTAATCTGGCTGTGTCGTAGGTTACCATTTGGGGGTCGGGAATGCTGCAAAGGACGACGTCGTCCTCGGCCTTTGGGCGGGTAGGTATGATGCGGGCTGCAACGCTACTCGTCGGTTAGGTTGGTGGAGTCCACCCTCTGGGGGCCTCGCTTACACAAGCCAACCGACTCTCATTTCTCAAAGGGACGATGAGAGTCGGTTGGCTTGGCTGTGGACTCCACCAACCTAACCGACGAGTACCGTAGGTCTATTTGAGTTACTGAAGGGGGGCCGAAATAGAAGCTTGCAGCCCTGTTGGCCAATGGCAGGGCATCACCACCCTGGACCCTAGGGCAGATCTTGGGATGGCTCAAGGGGACCAGGGTTGCAGGGTCGAGTTGACCGGAGATGCTTTGGAATGATCCCCAAACAACATCCAACAGAGAGGATGCTGAGTCTGGACAACAACCACCTGGGGTGCCAGTCGAGGCACTATCTATGGCCAACATGGATGTTGACCCGCGGATGTCACATTCTCATCCCTTGCCCGCGGATAACTTCCTGGACGGATACAGACACCAACACCATTCCTCGCTGAACTCGGCACTCTGTAAAAAAACTACTACGCATCCACGATGAGAACGAGTGAAAGATGGTAGAGTATGACGTGCGTGACCACGCCACACTCGGCACAGGAACTCCTCCATGTTACTCTACCCGTCTCTCAGGCGTCCATTACTTCTAGGTGCCCCCTTTGCAAGTGCGAAGACCAACCCAACCATGCGGGTCAGCCGTAATCTGTACGGGTCGTACAACACACATCGACAAAGGTCCCAGGCCCCAGCATTCCGATGCTACCGTCAGGGCGGCCACTTGCGAATATTATCACTCGCCTCCCCATGCCTCTTCTTTTTGTTTTGTCTTTTGGCCCAAGGTTCTTCGCCTTCTTGCTGGTGTCATCATACCGTTGGCTGAGAGTTCCATAACTGCAAAGCAGAAAACGACACCTTTCGGCACCGACAAGTTTTATCACTCCGCTTCACCCTTCACACGCCATGTACAAAGACAAATTCACATTTCCACCCTAGTCCTTTCCCTTTCTTCCGTTATGCCCGGGAGGCTCCGGCCAAGATGCTGTCAAAGCCGGGATCCACAATCCGAAAGCTCGTCTCTCCACGGAAGACCCTGTTTGTCGAGGAATACGAGGGCTCTTACTTTCACCACGACGATGAAGGCTACAGGTCGGTCTACAGAGAGCTTAAAATGAGGTCATGGGGTCTTCGAAGGGGTTCAAAGCCTGACCTCGATGTCCCGAAGAAAGAGGACCTTCACAAGATACTCACAATTATCCCACCCTTTCCCGACACTCCGCTCTCATCAAGGTCTTCTTTGTCCAGCTGCGGCTATAGCACAGACCACACCAGTCCTCAATGTTCTTCCCGGCGTGTCGGAGGCCAAAGTCCTCAGAGGAGTCCACTTCTTTGTCCTGAACACCTCGAGCACCAGCCACAGCAAGCCCGAGGGAGAAGCCAACCCTCCAGCACGACACCGGGAACGCCTCCCAGAACACCAAGTACACAAGAGTTACACCAAATTATTCTTCTGCCGCCTTCACCTCCCCTGCAACAAGACGAGCCGAACCGGGATTATACGATTCGTCGACCAAGTATTACCTTGACTGGCCTGGGGATCAACCATCAATCTATATCTGCAGAGGAGATTGCCGAAGGCTATACCGGCTCACGAGAGCAACATCGTTCACCAAGCAATGGATATTCGAACGACATCCAGCAGCTCATTCCGGAGATGGATAGGGCATTCCAGCCACAACGGTCCCCGATCGAAATAAAGCTGCCGTTACCGGCGCTTGTGATCCCGCCGACGACATATTACTCGGCAAATCACACAAAGCCTTTGACGCCTGCAGATACTCCCTCCCAATGGAATAAAGCGCGGAGAAGAAGTCAGGCGTCATTGCAATCCTTCACACAGCCTTCCAAAAGGTCTTTCTTGCTCACAAGCCCGGCAAGGTTTGCTTCGGCCAGCAGGACAAAGAGAAAGAAGTCAAAGAAATCCCAAAGGCGGCCGCGCATAGTCAGCACACAGGTATCAAGATGGGCACTACCAGACACTGCCCGAAATTTATTCGAACGTTTCAACCCTATCGAAGCTAATGAGGTGCTGCCGGAGAGCGTCTTGCAGGAAATAATGGACCGAGCTTGTCTAGCCCAGTCAGCGATGAATGATGGAGTGACGGCAACCGGTCAAGAAGGTGATCAAACGTCTCAGCAGCCCATTACGCCTGTCGAACCGTTCCACCTAGACGACTTGCCGACACGGATTGACAATGCCGGCGTGAGCTTGACTGTCACTTCGGCAACTCCTCCACTTGAGACGGCACGACCGTCTTTATCTGATCACGGCGAGATCACCAGAGACGACTGCGCAACACCAAAGCAGCAGTTGCAAGAAGATGGACAGAAACAGAACCGGCCGAGAAGTCCTCCCGTCGCCTTGGCGGAGGATGGAAAGGAACACAGCCTACCCATTATGTTTCGCCTCGAAGAAGAAGAAGCACAACAACCTCCAAAGCCCCCGAGTGTCGCCCATCTTACACCTTCCACTACCGGTCCCATCAGGCCCGTACCGCGGCGCACTCCGTCCAGGCAACTACCTCCTCTTCCGACCATTCCTGAGGGCATCACCAGTTCGATGTTGACACCTACGTCTACCTCATCACCTGGATTTGGCTCCGATGCCAACAATGACGACTTTATCTTCCTCAAAGGCACCCCATACACTTGGACAATGCCATCCTTCCGTCACGGACCAATCCGATTACCCAAACCCGAGCCTCCCATCAACCTGCTCGCCGCCAATGCTGAATATGGTCTTGACTGGGTAGCCTTCCAAATCTCGATAGGAAGCGGTATCGGCGACTTCGACAGTGACCCCCTTGACTACTCGCGGCCTTCGGATGCTGAGCTTAATGAGCGCGACGACATTATTGCCTGGTTCTCCGGTTTCGGGTTCGATGGGTATGGTGCATTGAGGACCTTTCCGACCGCCGACGAGGAGATCGAGCTCATGAAGCACAGACAAGAAAATGCCCCTTTGCATACGCATTCCGCGAGTTCTGGTAGCCCCTTGAACATGGGTAGACGAGAACCTCCAGACAGCGGCAGCAGAGGCAGAGTACCAACCGGGAACGCACTTCGTCGGATTCAGCATTTGCAAGCATACGACTGGGACCGAAAACATTCCCATGAGCGGTCGGCGAGCGTCAATGGTCATCTTCCTCTCCATGCCCCTGCAACTCACATTGCTGCTCATCAGATGCAGCAACAACAACAACAACAACACTATCTGCCCTGGATATCACGAGAGACACCTTCCTCAACCTGGCCTATCGAACGTCAATCAAGGGACCATCTCGAGAAGCCTACAACCAACACTCCCTATGGTCACGCTCACAGCCAAAGTTGGAGTTACTCGCTGTCACCTTTCCAAGCGCCAACATCCAATCCCACCGTTCGCCGGGATCATAGCCGCGGTCGCAGTCAAAGCGATGCCGCCAACAACAACAACACCAACACCAACAACACCCTGGTTCCAACATCAATCAACCGCAATCAATCACCAACGCTGCGAACGTCAACACCAACAAAGACTTTAACATCCCGGCTCCAGCCATCACACACTCAAAGACCCGGGACGCCACAACATCAAATCCAACAACAATACTCCCTTGCACTAACATCATCCTCACTATTCTCATCACCAACCATCCAACGATCCGAATCCCCCTTTCTCCCAGGAGGTTTTGCTTTCCAATACGAGCAACAAACGGTTATTCCATCGTCGATTGTCCCAACAACCCAACAACATCAACAAGCACCACCACCACATTCACAGCCGACAAAGCAAACAGCCAAGAAAATCTCCCAAGCAATCGATGCGGCCCGCGCCCGCACTTGGCAGCAAGGGTCTCAAGGACCTCGCCACCGCCGCGCCGACTCGCAAGAAAGTATAAAAAGTCTGCCGCAGAGCCCGGCGCTCAACATGGTGGTTTCAAGGGACGTGAATGGCCAGGAGTACGTGATCCCGATGGGGTTCAATTTGGATCATGACTTGGGGGATTTCCTCAAGTGGGAGGCGGAGCATGTTGCGTTGGGGATTGATTGATTCATTGATCGGCTGATTGTTTGCATGGAGTTGATTGTTGTTGAAGGGGTTGGAATGTTGAGGGAAAGGAAAAAGGAAATACGAGTTACTAGGGGGCAAACTGAACTAATGGCGTTGAGTCGTTTCTGGTTTGGGTCCAAGGTCTTTTTTTTACGCATCTTTCTGTTACTTTCTTTTACGATACCACTTTTTAGTTGATCTATATCATGGCGAAAATAATTTTCCTCTTCAACAGCAACGATTGAAATGATTTCTTGTTGAGTGTACATGCTGTGTGGACTATCTCGCTTACACAGTAGTCAACAAGGACTCTGAATATCAACATCACTGTCGCAAAAAACACACCATGCGCACATCATTCACCTCAGACATCCATCTACCTCATTTATTTCTCAGCAAAAATCGATCGTTCTACCGACCATGTAGGCCAGGGGCACCCGACATATACGGATGAGAAGGTTCAACCTGAGTCACGACTCCCATGAGGCGATGCCACAAGGCACAAGTCGTTCCGCACCCTTCATAGGAATCCATGCCACAAAGCTTTAAATGAGGCGAAAGACGAGCAGTACCTGCATCACTCCAAGGCCCTACATCATCTTCATATTGTCAGGACCAAGCAATATGGACAGGCTTGCCTCATGGTTGCCTGCACGGTCGGCCGCACTTGCTTAGGTACTTGGCCCACGATGTGGGAAGGAAGCAGTTGATATGTAGAAGGCACATCCTGCTGGGAGAAGGAGGCTGCCCACCCAGTTGCAGGCACAGAAGGAAGCGAGCCACCGCATCACGAAGGGGAAGGAGGTCAGTGCTGTCAAGGAAGGAACGAAACTATTCCCACAGATAAGCCAGACGGCTGCTTCGAAGTTTGGTGGGCAACGAGACGGGGAATCGTGTTCATAACCAAGTCCCCCCCAGCCAAAAGGCTGGTTCCTTTTTCTTCTCAGAACGGAATCAACCACATTACCAAGTCTCTGACCTCCGCACTTTGTTGCATTACATATATCTTATATCTTGATGTGGAGAAATGGTCTAATGTTGGTCGTGCTGCACTCGATTTGTCTCCTTCGTCGATGACTACCTGCCAAAGAAAGCCAAGTAAGTCAACCTGAAGTTGCCTATTCATATTGCTCCGGATTCTGAAGGCAGATGCTGATCGATACTTCGAGCCAGGAACACTGCAGGAGATGAAAGTGTAGCTGCTGATGAGGGAACATCGACTTCCCCAAGCTCCCGCAGGCAAGTGCCATGAACCGTCGATGCGTCCAACCGGCGTGTGCTCGTCTTTTAAGGATAGCCATTGTTGGACTTCCGTCGGGCAAGGAGTTGGCTCAATCATCTTTATCACAACCAAGTCATATCCATCCATCGCCGCTCGCAGCGTTTCCACGCATCAGCTACGGATGGATGGATTTCATGCTGTGTCTCTTTCAGATCCTCCTCCTTCCTCCATCCCAATATTTCGATGCGAGTGAAGGCCCACCAAAGCCGTCTCACGCCCTCCCGCACCTTCCATCCCATCTCAACCCTCGCTCCTTCCCTAACTGACCGACCAACCTGCCCTCCCTCGCTCCTTCCCTCTTTACCATCCGGTATTTAACCCCCCGCCCCGCGCCTTCCTTCCACCTCAAACAGACAATCAGAAACAGTCACCCGACTGCCGAGTTTCCAAGTGGGCAACCACACAGCTCGGCTCGAGGCGTGCCGCGTTCGATTCCCGGACAAAGCACTTGACAAAAAGATATTTTCTGTATACCGCGCCGATTTGTAAGCGAGACGGCACCCAATGTTCCCGCTCAATGTTGAGCGAGGACGGATGTCATTCCAGTGCAGCAGGAAGAGCTTACCGTGGTGTAAGATGCTGTCCCTGGCCGCTCCTTGAGTGGACCTGGACTGTCCCGTGACCCAATGATAAGTCGCGTATGCAGTCATATCTAAGAGACCTTGTCAATAGTACTCAGAAGGCACGGTATTCTTCAGACTCTCGAGATTGAGTACCCGTGATTGGTGCGAAACATTCGAGGGAATGGGTACAGGGACCGAACTGGGGGGAAGAATAAAGATCGTGCTTAGTCGGGTTTCTGGATTGTCTCCTATTTTTTTTCGAGTTTTTTTTGCTCGTGCATTTTAGATAATAAGGTTGAAATTGGTGGTTGCTGCTGAGATCGCCCTGTAGTTCCTTCTGCCAGAGATGTTAACGCTTGTGATGTCGTGATGCAGTGTGGTTCATTAGGAGGGAGGGATGATAGCTCGGACTGATATCACGGTAAGCAGTGCACATTTACCTCGCGATGGAACCGTCACGAGATGAACAAGGTTCTGCTTCCGATGCGCAACTCACAAATATAATATCACCAGATCTTGCGACAATTGATAATGCTCAACAAAGTACAGGTAACCTCGAGTTGACTGTTACCACGCGTCAGTAACACTTGATGTCTACGAACCTCATGCCTCACCCATATCAACATCATCACCCTCCCCTTCGGTATCACTCTCCTCATCCCCATCCGTCGCATACGGCACAAACCGAAAGTCCAAGAAACTCAACCCAGCTCCTCCTCCCGGAACCCCCCCGCCCGCACCACCAACCCCTTCCACCTCCACCATAAACTGCATGCTCAACACTCCCTGCCCATCGCCCCTCAAGCTGACCTTGCTCGCAATCCTCATCGCCTCCGTCGCCGCCTTGATCGTGTCAAACTTGAACGTCTGGCTCCATCTCCTCTCGCCTTTAGCCCGATCCACCGCCCTCACCGAGAACGTCTCCAACAGATCCCTTCCGCGCTTGAAATCCACCGTGCTCTCCACCCCCGGCGCTCCCGCACCACTGTGGCTTCCGGACGTCCTGAACCGCAGATACGGCTCCTTGCGTGAGACCACGATCGTCAGCCGCTCGGGACTGATGCTGCCCACCTCCGCCAGCGCGTCGAGCAGGTAGCGCGCCTGCATGATCACCTTGAAGGACAAGTCGTCGACGTCAAAGGGGATGTCCTCGGGCATCTCGGGGAGGTAGGTGGTTAAGTTGCAGGTCGTCTTGACGCCGGCTTCTTCGAGGATGATGCTGAACGGTCCGCCGTCGGAGGGGTAGCTGAGGATGCAAGTGCCGTTGGAAGAGGAGGCGGATCCGCCGCCGTGGAGAGTTTGGTGGCTGAAGGCGTCTGAACCATTACCGCCGCGGTGCTGGTGATTCAGGCGTGGGTTGCCGCGCACGAGGGGGTCGATGTCGGAACGGGCTTGGCGGGCGGCGACGTCGGCGACGCCGAAGATTTGGAGGGTCTCGAGGAAGGCGGGGAGGGAGATTTGGAAGGAGACGGGCTCGGGGTCGTCGGCGGCGTCGTCGTCGTTGTCATGGGCTGAAGGGAGGTTGGTGGTGTAGCTGGCGAAGAGGTTCTTGTTCCAATGGGCAGCGCCTTGCATGACGCGGGCGTGGTCGGCGCCGAATCTGAGACCCTCGGGCGTGATTTCGACGTGGATTTTGTTGGTGAAGCCGATCGCTTTGAGGAGCTGGTAGAGCGGGCGCGTGGAGCTGGCGACTGCCCTGAACAAGGGAGGGCCGGCGTCTTGAGTTGGTTGTGACATGTTGCTGGCTGGAAAATGACCTCGAAGATCTATGTATAATAAGCGTAAAAGGAAAGATGGCGTGTGATGCGTGTGATGTTCAGAACTCGGCTTGCTTTTTGGTATATGACTCTATGTATTGTACAGAATCTCGCGGGGTCCGTAGTGCGAGAAGACTGCTCTCTTCTGTTTTTTGATCTCCAGGGTATCTCAGTATTAAACGTAAACTCCGACCGCGCAGAACATGTAAACAACGCCAAATCTGCGCCCAAAATTGGTCAGCGTTGAAGTTCAGGATAAAAGAGTGGTTGGATTGTAAAATGAATGGTCGAGTGGACACAGTCGAAGCACAACGGGGACGTACGCAAAGGCCAAAGAAGCCGGGATGCCCAAGAGAGGCAGATTGACGATGGACCGGTCTAGGAGGTGGTTTCTGGTTAGCACAAGGTCAAATTGGGAGGTGTCCAGGCTGAAATAAAATCACATACTGAGAGTAAAAGCGCCGGTCAAGGTAAAGCCGATGAGGAGGAGGAGGAACGCAACGAAGAATTGGCTGCCTTTGCCAACAGTGGGAAGAAACGGGCTGCCAGACGCGGCGTGCCAGACCTCGAGCAGTGGTGAATCCATTTAGCCTGGGGAGCAATTGGTTGCGGATAGTAGAAGATTGTACAATTCAAGCTAAGCTCAAGATCTGGACATCCAGGGCACGCAAGAATCAAGACCGAGGACAGGAAATGTTGGTGCAATGGATTGAGATTCGACAGGAGTTCGAGAGAGCTTCCCCAGATCCAACTGAAGCTCCAGCACAGATCGGGACCTGACAGTGGACAGCAGAGGGACGACACCAGACGCTGCAGTGTGGTGAACGTGTTCGGAGCTGAAACGGTTTAGCGTCGACCGAGCTTGGTCCCGCCCGCGAATCTTAACCCCTGTTAGTCAGCCCTGCTGTTTCCACCTTGACGGAATGGTCCACTTCCTCCTGCTCCCGCTCCGCAACCACCGCTCCACCACACGTCTCCCGACGCGGTCACACTACGACAACGGACGTCAATCAACCATCGTCAATCATCGATTCATCAATCGCGAACACATCCAAGCATCGATCGGTCCTCAGCCGAGGCGGATATGCCCGCTAATTCCGTCGCGGCCCTGCCGTACAACATGAAAATGAAGGAAGAAAGTCAGTCTCCCATCACCCCTCTTCGCTCCACGCCACATTGCCCCTCAATCCCCTGCGCAAGCCTCCCGGCGCGGACATGACTGACATCGTGTGAAATGGCAATAGACACCAAGCGTAAGGCTACCGAGGAGCCTACCTCTCCCTCGTCGGCGAAGCGAATTAAGCATAGCGACTCGACCGAGGAGACGGAGGACACGAAGAAGCCAAAAATCCCCGCCATTCCCTTCCCCGAGAAGGCCGCCGTTATCGAGGAACGCAACGGCGAAATCGAGTTCCGTGTGGTCAACAACGATGGCGAACGCGAAAGCCTGATCATTCTCACCGGCCTCAAGTGCATCTTCCAGAAACAACTACCCAAGATGCCCAAGGACTACATCGCCCGTCTTGTCTACGACCGGACGCATTTGTCCATCGCCATCGTCAAGAAGCCACTCGAGGTAGTTGGTGGCATCACATACCGACCATTCAAGGGCCGCCAATTCGCCGAAATCGTCTTTTGCGCCATTTCTTCCGACCAGCAGGTCAAGGGCTATGGTGCTCATCTCATGTCGCATTTGAAGGACTATGTCAAGGCTACCTCGGACGTCATGCACTTCCTCACATACGCCGACAACTATGCCATTGGCTACTTCAAGAAACAAGGCTTCACAAAGGAAATCACACTCGACAAGTCAGTATGGATGGGCTACATCAAGGATTATGAAGGCGGCACTATAATGCAGTGCAGCATGCTTCCGCGAGTACGCTACCTCGAGATGGGCCGCATGCTTCTCAAGCAGAAGGAGTGTGTTCAGGCCAAGATCCGTGCCTACAGCAAATCCCACATTGTCCACCAGCCCCCCAAGCAGTGGAAAAACGGCGTAACACCCATCGACCCTCTCTCAGTCGAAGCCATCCGCGCTTCAGGATGGAGCCCAGATATGGACGAGCTCGCCCGTCAGCCACGCCACGGGCCCAACTACAACCAGTTGCTGCACCTTCTCAATGATTTGCAGAATCATGCCAGTAGTTGGCCCTTCCTGGTACCCGTTAACAAAGACGAGGTGCACGACTACTACGATGTCATCAAGGAGCCTATGGACTTAAGTACCATGGAGGACAAGCTTGAGAAAGATCAATACAACACGCCCGAGGATTTCATTAAGGACGCCAAGCTCATATTCGACAACTGCCGAAAGTACAATAACGAGAACACCCCTTACGCAAAGTGCGCCAACAAGGTCGAGAAGTACATGTGGCAGCAAATCAAGGCGATTCCCGAGTGGTCACACCTCGAGCCTTAGAAGGGTGGAAGTCGTGAGGACCGTCAGATGGAGGAGCAAGATGTTGCCCAGCATGACAATGACAACTCTGTCACACATGGCATATACGAAAACGTTGTTGCCCATGTCGACAATGATAACGTTGATGCTGATCCGGATTGGAGCGAAAATCGTCCCGCTACCAGCGCTAACCGCGTCGGTCGACCCCCCAAACGTGGCCGTGGTAGGCCAAGGATCCACCAGAGAGGGAGAAACACGAACAGGGGCCGTAGCACATGGACACAGCCCCAAGCTCAGAAAGAACCGAAAGCACATGATCAACCATCTGGAGAGAAGAAGACGGTCACTCCATTTTTTGAACCCAGGAAAACCCGAGCCACCGCTAAAAAGGAGGATCTGGTGTTACAAGAGGCGATCAGGACTAGTACTGAACCTGACAGTCGTCATGGCAGCCGGGCACTGTCCGCTGGTGCTGACAAAGAAACGGTGATTATGAATACTGGCTTTGATGCGCGCGCTTCGAAGGCTGGCCCTGAAAAGTCACGTCCCGATTATGCAGTACAGCCGTTACAGAATCTAGAAACAACAAAGAAGCTACCAGACCAGGAACTGGATGGTGGAAAGAAGACAGGAGGAAATGGCACTGAGAGTAATGTCTCGAATGTGAGCCAAGGCCATACTCAGGGGTTCATACAGGCACCAGAGCCCCTCATCTACCCAGACGGTTTTGGGAAATGGGAACAGCAAGCTGCGCTAGACCGGTATGGAGAAGATGTCCTCTCGGAGTTTCGAGGAATATGGCGAGAAATACTCAAATCCATCGACACCGACGCCCCAAATCGGAGGAGTGCCGTGGACGTATGGAAGTCGCTGTTGGATCCCGATTTGGCTACTCGATTCCGTGCGTCACTGTCAGCGCGGTATCGTGAATACACCAACCGGTGTAAACAAAAGATGGAGCAGGGAACACCTAAACGAAATTCCTCCGGACAGCCAGGGAAACGACAACATGAGGAGGCTGAATCACCAGAGCAGGACGACTCGCCAGTGCCGCCGCATCCGAAACGACGCAAGCGTGCGGCATCGCCTCCATCTGACAGGTCGATGCAGCAACAAGAGCAGCAGCAGAACCAGCCAGGGAAACGGCAACACGAAGAGGTTGAATCACAAGAGCAGGAAGACTCTCCGGTCCCGCATCCGAAACGGCGCAAGCTTGCAACATCGTCACAGTCTGACAGTACCTTCTCGGACAGTTCTGGACCGAGACAAGGTTCTGCATGGCGGATGATAAGGGACCCATATGGGGAGTCTGTCACGGACCTTCCGCGGAAGCACGATATAGAAGCGGAGAGCCCAAGCAAAAAGGTTTCTTTCAGAATTCGGAAGGAAGGAATTTCAAAAACACAGACCCAGAGGAAGAACAACCCTATTGGGACGCGCTAGAAACGACGGGAGGGCCCATACACAGCGGAAATGGAGGCTCTCGAGGACGAGCGAGCGTTTAGCGCAAGAGAGTGGGATAGTCTTGGTGCGGATATGGCGTAGACATGCAGTTGGCGGTTTTCGCTTTCTTTTCGTTTTATACCCTTTTTCGGTGGTTGAAATCTATTATGATTTGCAGAGGATGATTTGAGTTATAGCCATTAACTAGCGTGAAGGTAGTACTTTTCATCTAAATATCTTTCTTGAGCCATCATCCATGTGTTAAATATGTGATGTATGGCCCCAAGTTGATCTGCCTGTGGTTCGACCTGCTGGACTACGGCAAGCAAGTACGACGTTCCCACAACTCATCTCACTCGGCAACGGATGGATATTCAGGCAACAAGGTAAGAGACTCTCATCAGTACGTGTGTGGAATCATATTGACTCGACGTTATCAATACATGGTATCTCGTGCTACAAGCGCCAGCAAACACAAAATCATAGGTAGTTGTTGTGTCCACTCCCCAAACAGAAAGGTGGCTCGCAAAGTAAGACTCCATTCTTCATTAAGTGAAAGAAGAACAACGTCAATTAAAGCAAATCATAATCATGCCCCTCTTCAACTCAAAGAACACCAACTAGATAGCGGCGCGCCTCTTGAACTTGGCCTTCAGCTTCTCAAGCTTCCCCTTCCTGGCGAACTTCTTCGTAAACTTGGCATCAAAGGCATCCAGCTCAACCGCCCTCTTGCCCACATTCGCGGGGGTAATATCACCGCAATCTGGCCTCTTGAGCTTATCACCAAACTTGTCCGCGGCCCAGATCAGCACGCCATTGGTCCAGCCGAAGCCTTCCACGACCTCGTACTCGCCTCCGCCACCAGCAACGTTGGTCGAGCTGTCAGAGTACTTCTCAAACATGATGCCCTTGGCGTCGGAACCGAGACCCTGCAGCTTCGGCGTCTCCGATGTGGATCCGCCGGTGGCGTACCAGGTGCAGAAGGTCGAGTCGACGTAGCGCTGGGCAAGACGGAGGGCCAGATTCTGAGTCTCCTGGTACGCCGGGTCATCCTCGCCGAAGGTGGCCGGAGTGTTGAGGAGACCGTCCATGAGGACGTGCATGAGGGGTGGCCATACGTTAGGCTCGTCCCACTGTTGGCCAGTGACAAAGTTGGTAGCGGGAATGCCGCCGGCCTTGTTGTCGAGTAAGTTCTTGACCCGGTCAAAGGCAAGCTTGACAGCCAATGGATTGGCCTTGAGCTGGTCTGGGGCAGCACCAGTCCAGAAGGGGAACATTTGGTTGATAGAGAAGAGAACCTGGTAGCCTTCGGGGGTGCCGCTGGGCTTTTCGAAGGGGAAGACTTGAGGGTCGGCGGGCACATAAATATTTTGGGAGGACGATGTTAGGTTATAATCAAAGTAACTCCACAGGGTCGAGTTCCACATGAGCTTGTACATGGCTTCGCTGCGCTGTTCGGCTTTCTTGGCCCACTCCTCAGCTTCGTCCTTGTTGCCCTGCTGAGCGAGGAACTTGCCGATGGTGACCTCATTCTGGTAAAGAATCGAGTTGAGGTCAACAGGAACAATTTCGAGGACGTTGAGCGAGCGGAGAGGGAAGTACACGTCCCGGGCTGCGTCGTTAGGGTTCTTCAGCCACCTAGTACTGTAGTCCCATCCTGACTCGGCGCCACTGGCGAGGTTTGCGTACAGCTGTGCTTTCTGGGTATCATTAAGAGGAGTTTTCTCTGGGTAAATGATACCAGAGGTAGCATAATAAGAGTTGTTGTTGGCGGTAATGTAGTCCTCACTGTAAGACTCGGGACGGGGTTGGTTGTTGTCGACGTGGTATCTGCGAGAAAAGATGTTAGCCAGACATGCTCAGGTCATGCCAGATCGTTCTTCCGCTCATTCAACTCACCTCTGGAGAGAATATGTCTTTCCATCCGCAGTGACTTCGACAGTGCGGTTGGTGATCCACCACTCCCACTCCTTCTTCAGAATTGGCACCGCTCTCTCAAGGATGCTTGTATCATTGGTGTGTTCAACATAGATCCTGACCATCTGCGTAAGGAGTGGAGGCTGCGAGCGGTCAAGGTAGTAAAGCCTTGCTCCGTTGGGAACAAATCCGATCTGCTCCACCAGGTCAAGGAAATTCTCAATGGTGTTCTTCGAGATCTCGGTGAAGGCACCTCCCGTGCGGAGAAGACCTTCAAGAATCCAGAACGAGTCCCAGTAGTAGGGCTCACGGAAGCGGCCACCAGCCACGACGAAGGTACGGTTGACGGGGATGAAGCTGTTAGCGCATCCCTTGCATATTTCGCCCGCGCCAACGTATTTTCTGGTGAGATCTGGCCAGATGTTGATGACCGAATCGACAAATTGCTTGATCACATCGTCACTGACATTGTCAAGAAATGTCGGCGCTACATGGAGCTGGTCGGTTGGTACCGCTTCAAGCTCGCCACCAGCGGGTCCGAAGTAGGTGTTGAGGAATTCGTGGAGCTCCGAGTTGTTGCTCAATGGGAGGGTAAGCTTGCTGAAAGCTTCAAGGACCTCATCGACGGGTTTGATGGTGGGCCTACAAGGAAGTTGGGTCAATAACGTGCTCATATCACCAGGAGATGTTGGCCAATGACTTACATATCAACGAAGGTCTTTGAATCGGAGAATGGACGAGCAAGCTCAACCTGGTGAAGAAGCTCGCCATAGCAATAAATTGGCGAGTCACATGGAGCCGTCACTGAGCCATTGACATACAGCGCGCGAGCTCCAGGCAGAATGGCAGCAGCCAGGGGCACAGCTGCCCCAAGGACTCGTGATACCATGCTTGTTGTTGGTGTGAAGTCGGGAAGATGTTGATGGCTTCACTGCCTCATAGAAACTGGCGGTAAGTATTTCGAAAAAAGTGTTTATGGGGGGAAGAGAGAGGAATAGCAGGTTTATTATACCTGCACGCGGCAATAAGACAAAAAGCTGGTCCAGATTCCCAACAGTCAGGTCCAATGCTACCAAGTTCTGCAACTCCACAAGTTCGGTGAGAAAATCAGGACGGGAAGGAGGTGCCGGTGACAAGCGTGGTGATGATGTGGGGAGTGCTTGCCAACCCGGTAAGCTTTCCACTTAGCCCCAGTACTTTTATATGTAACATCAAATCCGGTAGAGGTATTTTCACCCGGTGATGGGCACTCAACTTTGAGAAGGCTTGCTTCAGACCATGCCGTCGTCAGCGGCAAGCAGACTACGTTCCCTTTGCGGAAATCTGCCCAACTTATAAATGCAACAGAAACCTGCATGCAGCCTGCTTCCAGGAAACAGAATCGACGTGCGTCGAGGTAGGCGAGCATGGCGAGGTCATGCTTGCTCCCCTGCTTCCCTGCACCCCAGCTCGTCGAGAGAAAAAGTGACGCTGATCCTCTCCGCATTTCTCCAGGTTCCATTGTTTTTCTTTGTTGGGACGGGTCAGCACGAGGCATTTCTGGGGAACGTGAGGAATGTGAACTCCGTGTCTCATCTGCTGAATCCAGCAACCCGAGTGAGCCATGATGTACAGGATAAGGGTATTGTTCTCGTGTTTCCCCAATTCCTTACACGACATGCGGTTGTGGAAGCAAGCACTTTAAGCATCCCATGTGATGCAACATGGAAAGCTTCCCGCTGTGCATAACAGAGCCAATCAATCATGTCGGGTCAACATCAAGTTAAGTAAACAATGTTTCCATCTCGTCTTTCTTGCAGAGCCTGTCACACCTGTAGAGACAAAGTTCAGGACCCAACAACATTCGGCCATCTGGACCTGGGTATGTACCTCCGCGGAGAAAGTGATAACTCAGCAGAGTTCTTGTCGCGTCTTCGAAATTGACTCGGCGTACAACTTGCGAGGGGAGAAATGCAAAGAGCAATGAATTGAACACCAATTCTCGCCGCGCTAGGACAACTGCCGATTGGAACGTAGAACAACAACGAAGTTGAAGAGCTTTAGTTCAAATCAGAAAATCCACATTCTCCCCCGCATCCGGGGCGTGCGGGAGAGTGTCGACTCCAACAACTTTGGCTGACCCTGCCTCCGAATTTCGTTGACCGCAAACTCTCGGCGCTGTCATTCGCTCTTTCTCGGTGACGTCAGGCTAGTATAGTGGATCCTTGGAGGGTAGGAGTGGGGTCTTCTCCATCGCGGGAAGCACAAAATGCGGGGTCGAGGCCCCCTGTCCTGGGACCTAAAGTCCCAGTGCGGAGAAAGAGAACAGCGTTCGGTGCCGTGTCGGGTTGGCTTTGAAGTTCGCCAGTCGCAACATCACACCAGGACAGGAACACCCGCCCCCTTTTCGATCAACATCAGATTCCACAGTAGCCAACCGGTGTGCTCGGCTTCACAGTCTGCCAGCCATCTCATTGAGCCATCCGGTATTATTCTATCCTCGGCGCATTCAAAAAGCCATGGGCTCTGTGTACAAAGAAAGATGAGATATCAACCGATTCAAGTCGCAACAACAGAGACATGTGGAAATCTGAAGAAACAAGAGATGTCAGCCACACAAGAAGCTGAGCAACCTTCGCGACTATGTGCTTGGTATCAACAGGTTCTTGTTGGAGAACTGTGCGCCAAGCAACCGATTCATCAACAACAGCGTAAGATCACAATATTGGAAGGTGCCTTGCGCCCGAGTCACCTCATTCGCTCATCGGGGGTTCCGCCTTCGAGCCCAACCTCAAAGATGCATATTCTCTCGGCCCTTTTATCCATGTAGAGGGCGGGCCGATGGATCAAGAAGAGGCTTATAGACTCTTCGATTACGTAAATTTTAGAGGACATCGCAAGAGCCTATTGATCTATTTGCTCCGGTATTGCGAAGTCTCTCCTTCAGCCTTCTGGAACTCTTCCCCAGCCTTTGTCGCCTTCTCCTGCATGATCGTCTTGAAGATGCTCTCCAGCCTGGGGAGAACAAAGTCACGGTTTTCATACGCCTGGTAGCTGATGACCAACCGAGGTGCCCATAGCCTCAGCCCGGCCTCTTTACCGAGCTCATTCATCCTCTCCACCGAGCACTTCGCATCGTTCAAATCAAGCCACACCATGTTGGTGTCGACAGGATGAAGGAACTTGCCGCCCAAGCCCGTCCATATCCTTTCGATCTCTTTAGCCAGAATGTGCGCTCCTTTCAACTTGCCGCCTTCGCCGTTGGGGCCCTTGCCAAACGTTTCGTCAACGGCAACCCTCGCCGCAGCGGCCACCACGCCCGACTGCCTTAGTCCACCGCCAATCGACTTTCTTACCCACCGGGCATGCTTGATCACGTCCTTGGGGCCTATCAGCACGCTACCGATGGGCGCACCAAGACCCTTGGAGAAGCATAGGCTGATGGTGTCAAAGCACTCGGCAAACTCGGTAAGGCTTCCAGCACCAGAGGCCACCGCCTCCCACAAGCGCGCGCCGTCGCAGTGCATCTTGATCCCATGCTCGCGCGCAAAGGCGGAGATGCGGCGCACCTCCGAGAGCGGCATGATCATGCCGTTGAGCGTGTTCTCGAGCTCGATCACACGAGTCGGGCAAGTGTGCACGTCCTCGTCGAGGTGGGCGTTGGCCTTGACGTCTTCGAGGGTAAGGTAGACGCCGTTGCTAGGCAAGACAGGCTTGAGCATGGCGCCCGTTAGGGATGAGACACTATGAAATTCTGTTAGGGCTGGTCTTAGTAAGCACGAAGAAAGAAACACAGAAATGGCCTCACCCTCCAGCCTCATATTTTACAATGTGACAGCGGGCATCACAGAGTACACCGTGAGGCGGTTGGGTGAGCAAAGACCTCATAGCTAGCTGGTTACCCATGGTGCCTGACAAAACGAGGAGGCCGGCCTCCTTGCCGCACAAAGCAGCGCAGTGGGCCTCAAGGTCACTGGTGGTGGGATCTTCTTGCGTGACATCGTCGAGCAGAGAGCAGGACTGGATAGCGGCAAGCATGGACGCCGTGGGAGTTGTCATGGTATCACCTGAAAAAACGTTAGTCGATAACTATGTGGTTCCGAAGTCCTATCAGATTCCTTACTTCGGAGATCGAAGCCTCCCGGGCCGACGCTGCCAACCCAGGCATTCGGCACCTCTGACAGGCTCATTTTGAAGGGTGTTGTTGACGAAATAGCACGGGACTGTTGGGCACACAAAAAAACCACCGGGTTTCTGAAATATGAACGGAAAGGTTGTCGGCCGGCGATGTTAACTTGTCGGGCAACTGCTCTCAAGGACTGGGCCGGCATGGTCAATTGAAGTGGCGAAGAAGTCCCGTCAGATTCGCCGTTGGACACCGGACAGAGGTGGCCGTCAGCCCGGCGAGCTCTAGACCTCTTCCGGTGTGACTCTGCGGGCATATGTCGCCGTCTCCGGCATAATCGGAGCCCTAAAGGGCAAGTGTTTTCCACTGTAACGGTGCTCCACCTTTGGCATTTAGGGGCCGCAATGGAAATTCACGGCAGAGCTGCCCCTGTGGGCACGGTCCTCTTTCGGGGAATGGAACATTCGTTCCGGGCATTCTTGCTGCGTTTGCCTGAATCAACTTCGGGGGAGTAACTTTGACGTAATCCTTTGAGGCCATTCAGAAATTCATTTCAGGTTGGTTGATCGTATCAAAAGTCGGTGTTTCACGATCCCTTCGGCCCACTTCTTTACTCGGGAAACGAATGGAACGCTGTCCGAAAGTCTTCGGACCCGACCGAGTTCGGGCCCCGTCAGCCCACATGGACCTGCCCCGAATGGTGAGTTTACGGGGTACACCCGACTTGCCAAAATCTCGGACAGATTCGTTCCTTCTGCAGAAAATAAGTACAAATTGGCTCGAACACGACTGTTTTGGCTAGAAGAAGAAGGAACGATGCGGGCTCGTGGGTTTTCCAGTCTGATACAAACCGGAACCCAAGGCAAGTCCAACGTTGCCCTCCGCTTGATCTTCTGGACATTGCGTTTCTTCAAGTCGGAGCCATCCTTTGCCAAAATCATTACTTTGTATTTGCAACATCCCTCCATGTTTGGTATCCTATATATCAACAGGCTCAATCACCTTACTAAAGACTCTAATTTAACCTTTCACCCTCCTTGCTTGTACTGATGCGACCTCTACCCAAAGCAAAACCCCGTTCGATACTCCTTTGTCGGTTTGTGAACAACCACCCATTCCCTATGTCTTCATATCCATTGGCGGGACTATAACCTAACATCTCAGGCACAGGAGGACCAGAGCTCATGCATCGCCATGATATACACCTGCCACCGAAGCTCAAGGCGAAGCCAACGGAGAGGGACTATCCCACAGCCTGGGATTTCCAACGTCGAGGACCTCCCAGTCCCAGTGCTCTAGCAGGGCTGGAACCCCTCCGTCGAGTGGGAGCAGTTGCACGCCGTTGAACAGGTCCAAATTGTTGTTCAAGTGATCCTGTTGGATCTGCCAGTCGAGCTGCCCGTATTGGCCTGGATCGTTAATTTGACCCATCTCAAACATAGGTGGCTGGAAGTTGCCAAACTGATCCACGGTAGTCTGCCATGACGCTGTTGCTGCTTCCTCTGGCGGCGTTGGGCCGCAGACCTGGAGGAGCTCAGCATGATTTGGCCCAGCATCAGCTTCCACTGTTGCTTCAGGTGCAGCTGAGTTGTTGTTGGTGGTGACGGCTGAAGCTTCGCCGGAAACAATGTTGCCGGTGTTATTGCTTTGACAGGGTTCTTCAACCAAGTGGATGGTCGAATCGATACTTCTGCCCTGCCGAGCAGTGCCCGCGACTTCGAGCCCACCAGCAGCCAAAGAAACACTCGGAGACATGCTCTTGGACTTCACTCGCTTGGTGGACCCCATCAGACCTTTCTCCCGATAGCTAAGTGGCAAATTCGCAACCATCTTTTCCAGAATTCGGCACAAGCTCAATGCTGTCTTTGAGTCGCCGGTACACTCGTGCAGCATACTCAACCCGCGCTTGATGGATTCAAGGACAGTTTCTCGGTGCGGCAAATTCCGAGCTTCGTCGTGGACCAGCCCAGAACACAGGACAGTGGTGGTGTCAAAGATGCAAAAGACGGCATAGTGGAATTTTGCGCCGGCAGACACGAGAATCTCGAAGAACGTCCGAGATACTCCCATGAGGCCCAATGCGGCTAACACACCCGATTCACGAAGTTCCAGCTCCAAGTCAGACATTGGCTCTGCAGAATTTCGAGTCACGAATTGCTTGAGAGGATCGAACAAGCATATGTGGCCGACGAGGTGAAGATAGCGACGTTGGAATATGATCCAGTCATTCTCCGCGTCCCATTGAGTGTCCGGGTTTTGGAGAGCATATGCAGCGGGCAATTCGTCCATCCACTTCTGTACAACGTCTCTCAGAGCCTTACTCACCAAGGCCTTACTCACTTCGGTCGGGATGGAGTTGTCGGACGGCACGGGCTTGAGTTCTGCTGCCATCTTCAAGCACAGGGAGCTGTGGAGATTTATGTGCAGAAACGGAGACGGTTTATCTGGGTTTTCGGGGTCTTTGTCGAGAGCTAACGTTGGCTCTACGAATGTGCAGTCGGCGTGGTTTATGAGCAACGGCCGAGAAAGCATCGAATTCAAGGCGCTGCCAATATGTTAGCGCATTCATCGTGGGCTGGAGCAGGATATTTCACTTACAAGTCCCACACATACAGGATGCCCCAAAGACGTCTTCTCATCTCGCGGTCAAACTCCGACATGCCATCAGATAAAGAATCCTGATGAAGTCCTATCTCATATGCTGCATGAATGGTAGTTCCTAGGGCATGCCACGCTTCGGTCCAATCCTCGGCCGACTTGTACCAGAAAGCTGTCAGAAAGAGCTGCTGCACATGGGCTAGTCCCCCTTTCCCAGAAGGTATCGTTTTACTGAGCTTCTCCGCTGTTGTGTGCAAGGTGGTGGCGAGTGTCAATGCATCCGTCCCAAGCTCACGCTCTAGTCTGTCCTTGACGCCGGCGTTCAGGATGTACAAGGCCGAGCAGGCACAAACCCGCAGGATCAGATTGGTCAACTCTGGTGTACGCTTGTTCGCGGGTGTCGCCCACCATCCATCATACTGGGTCCTAAACTGAGGTCGATACAAAGCGTAATAGTGATGGTTTGCACCATTGAGCCAGTTGTCCACCAGACAATCTGCTGAAGGTCAGGCACAATCTCGCGCGCAACGGAAATATCGAAGGGTAAGTGGCATACCTATATATGGCTTGGCAGGCATTGACATGATGGCAGTTTGCAGTTCCTTCGACTGGACAGGCTCATCGTCCGCATCAGCCGTACCCTTGTTTGTCTTACCAAGCAACACGTAGTGTGTGTGTGGCATATAGCCGAGGGCATTGAGAGCATCGGCCTCGTCGGCCTCGTCGTTTTCACCATCTTGGTAGCCGTTCTCGTCGAAATAGGACTCTTCTTCGGGAGATTCTAGAGCCCGTTTCTTTGACACGCTGAAGAGAACGCCACTGTCAGAAGGAAAGTTCTCATTGCCTCTAAGTTGGGTGGCTATGGTATGACTTACCTTGATGAGCCCTCGTCGGAGGCTGTGTCGCTTTTGTTGGCTTTCTTCGGAACGAAGCGGCAAAGATGGGCGACTCCTCTCTTCGAGCAATGGTTGCATGGGAACTGACGATTACACTAACTCTAAGGTTAGACAGGCTTGATCGTTGAGTCTTGAAGACCAGGTAGAGGCTGGATATGTTCAACACCAAAAGCGTCTCAGAACTTACCTTCTGCTTCCGACGACGGCACTCCAAGCACGATATCGGCTGTGCGTTACCCTCGGTTGTCCAGCTCATCATGGCGGTTGGGACGGATTGCTGTGCACGAGCGGCTGGGAAGATAAATGCCAAAGTCGACAAAAGCAGATATATCGTGTCACACTCAGGATGGGATGATGTCTCGTCTTGGTGAGCGCGACCCGGATGTTTGATATGTAAGAGAAAGAACCTCTAGCAATATCGGGCTGAGCGGGCTCAGCGTGATGAACGCGGTGTCTGGCTTCGAGGACAAGAGCCTTGTCAGTATCTGTGCCACAGGTGATAAGCCAGCTTCAGAAATTGTGTAACGATGCTAACAATATAAGCAGGCATCAAGTTACATCGGCTTCTCAACGAAAATCGATAGTGCAGACGTCGAAATACCATCCTCCTTTACCGCCTTGTCTCCCAATCACCTCCCGCCAAGTGCTGTCGGAGAGTTTGGGGGGCACATCGGTCCACACCTTCTGATCGCAACCCATGTCTCTGGTGTGCATCCAAAGGCACCGCTAGGAGGGTGTTCACGAACCCCGAACCCCGGTTCTTGGGTCATGGTGAATGACAAGGAAGGCCTGTCCGGGTGTCTCTGATCCCGAAATCCGTAAGCCACATACGGTAGAATCCGTACGCACATACTGTTAACGCACTTTTAAGGGTATACAGACAATCCAAAATCCTAACTACGAACCTTCTTCAGGCCTACGACGAACGCTTCAAATTCATCCTCCCTCTAATCAACAACAAATAGCCCACAAAACTCATTTACGCCGGCAACGCGGTATAGGCAAATTCCTATTACTATAATACTATCTCCAGCGCTACCCGTAGCAATAAGGATAGTTTAGTAGGTAGTCTTCGCTTACACAAGGACATCTTACACGAGGACATAACAAGGCAAATAAAACCAGGACCTCCAGGCCTTACACAACGCAATCTTCAACACCCTTCCGGCATTTGCAATAGGGCAGCAAGCGGGATAACAGCCCTCAACTAAAGGTAGACAAATAGCCGATTCTCAACTTCGAATAACCTTTTGAAAGGCGATAGAGATTCGTAGGGCGAACGCAGAATTTGGTACCTAGTTTTTGGTGGCTATGTCGGCTTACACCTGAAGGTGGGTTACCGTATGTGATTGTGCGTACGGATTCTACCGTATGTGGCTACGGTTTCCGCTCTGATCCAGACCTCAGCCGAGTGATATCAGCCTGGAAAGGAAAATAGAACCGAGCGGTACAGTGAGGATATCCTATCTCGTCAGTGACAAGTCATCATGAAGAGGTCTCACTTTGCTCGCCAGCTTCCCTCAGCCTACCTAGGACGGTACCAGCCTGGCGCTACACAGTACCTAGCGCCCTAGGTGGTGTTGACGCATTGAAACTACCCCTCTATCCCGCTCAGCTAAGTATGAGCCTCTTCTGCGTTAACCTTCAGCCGCTATAGGCATGCATATTTCAGTTTTCTATCGTTGTCTGCTCGCTAACGTAGCCTTTGCTCGCACGGTCGCCAAGATCGTGGTTTTCTGGCAAACAAATTCCTCGTCAGTAACTACCGTCTTACTCAAGGGCTTGTCTGCACACCGACAAGCCGTCTCGTGGGGTAGTAACGGTAAGGGCAACAGCATGACGCTACATGCATGCTGAACTGAGACATCGTAACCTTGATAGAGACCCTGAACGGGTGCTGTATCCGCCCAAATTAAGGGAAGTCAAGAGCCCGTCGTCGACAACGCCGGGGTAACTGCTTCTTCAGTCTTCCGTTGCAGCTGTTCGGGGCGTAACGTTCGGGACACTACACTGTACCAAGTTGCCTTGCATAACAGTGCTTTGAGGACGTCCTAAACTCGGTCTTGGCGAGATCCCCTTCTTCAAGTTTCATTTGACTTTTCTTTTCGAAGCCATCCCGTCATTGTGTTCTGATTCCATCTGAGCAAAACAAGTTACATGCTAAATGGCATCCTCATCTGCACACTCAAGCTTCCAAAGTTGCCCAGGAGGATGGTAACGCGGCAAACGTTGACCATTGGGGCTTCGATGAGTGGAGGGTTCGGATGAACGGTGCATCGAATTGATGTTGCATCCGCCACACCGGCCACAGGCCCGGGCTTGCTTAGAGGTCATTTATCCGACCCCTATCTTGTTTACAACTTCGGTATAGTTCGGCGATCTCGTCTCAACGTTGTGCAGTTGCAGGTCGTTAGCTTTGCGTTAGCAGGGGCTTCCACGTTATAGGCTAGTAGCCAAGGTGACATCCGGCCTCTGAAGCTTAGACTAGGCGTCAGGTGCGGAGGGTCTTCTTGACCGAACTTTTGACCTTGGTCGAAGTTAGACAGTGTTAACAACGTTGTTGCATCAAGGTGTGAAGGTTGTCTGCGTTCAACTTGGCAGCCTTCTTCTTTCCTTCATTCAGATGCTATGGTACAGTGTTATTGTCGGATGCGAATACGAACTCGAGATCCAAAGCAGTGTTTCTCGAAAACAGTGTCGCTAAAAGTCATGGAAAAACCGAGGGACTTGGCAACTCCAGAAGGAACTACAAACCCCGATACCGACATTTGTAAGTAGCATGGGCGGATGGAGTAATCCTGATGGGAAAAGCAAGATTTAATACTTGCCGAGATCCATCCAAATTGGATTCTTTATCCTTTACGGGGTATCAATGGTCCGTGTTGGCCTCTCAGCCCGGTCGAGATATCCGATTTACTCACCCCCTACGCCCATCGTCATCTACCAATCGACCGGTAATTCATCCGTGAAGGATCAAGAGCTAATCTCCGGACCCTGACAAATCGCACAGTCGCCCGATCGCCACTCTCTGGCACGATGAGACAGAACATCGATGCCATGTCTTCTCCACGCTCCGGGCCGTTTCGGTTTCCAGGATCACGGACGCAATTCTAACTCTTATTGCATGTGACCAGATCGTTAGTAAGAGATGACGGATGTACATATGACCTGAACAGGAAGGGGAAATTTCGGGAAGATCGTCATCGTGGTTATGGCGTTGACCGTGAAGCCGGGACATGCCTCACAACATCACAAAACCCCTGGATCTACAATCCAGCCCTGGGTTTTTTGTTAGTCTGGTACAAAAAAGCCGAAGCTTTCCTGGATATGGGAAAGCGTTCGGCTTTTCATCGGGTAAACGCCGTAGACTGATATCTGGCAGTCTTGGGGATCTCGAAAGTCTTGGGGATCTCGAAGGAGACGTATTAAGCCCTGGTCATTGTCCGTCGCTTCAAACGAAGACTCTGAGGACGCCAAGGAGAGCTCCAGATCTCCCCTGTTCAACCCATGACCGAGGAACCAAACTAATAAACAAAACAGTATTGTATTGTAATCATGGAGCTGAGGGTCTGTGAATCCTGATTCCGTATACCAGGAAGCCGGGTGCATTGCGCTGCCGAACCGGCCCCGACCCCAGTGCCACAAGAAGGGGAACAAGAGTAACCGCCAGTTACTCATTGCTTTTTTCCTTTGGTAAACACTGTGAGAAAGGAGAAGATATCTGCATTAATGGGCCGTGATCTTGTTCATAAGTCATGCGAGCCGAAACGGATATTACGCGGTTCATACGGTCTTAAACTGCCGAAAGTTTGCCTCTGCCTCTTCGGTCCGAGAGTCTACATCGATTAATAATGGCAGGTTTCCACAATACCTATGGGATAGTGCAACTCCAGTCCGGCCAGAGCTCCGGCCCTAGTAGGTAAGGTCTGTATGGACACACAAGTCCCCTCGCTCAAGGGGTGTGGCTAGAAAGAAACACAACTACCACGCAGCGGGATACCACCACATCTCAACCCGCACCGTATGAGTTGGAGACGGAGGATACCACGCGCAAGCTACAGACCAGATGGGGTCAAGGGTATTGTATGAATTGCGCACTGACAAATCGCATCATCGCATCACAACCTCATGGAGCCGCCTAGACCTCAGACTAAGCAAGGATGGAAGTTAGGTAGTTCGTTCGGCAAATGGGTTGGGTTTGAGCGAGACCACAGTTCGTTCGTCCAATTCTACAGGAATCAGGAAGGGAAAAGCGAGGCCTCCTGTTAAATTTGGACGAGTTTGGTGTTGTTGGCGTTAGAGAAAGCGAGGTCCTTGTGCGATCGACGGACGTTGAGATAATCGGTGGGTGTTGGGCAACAGTGGATTGGGTCTAAGACACAAGATAGGCAGTATCCGAGGATCATCAGGCTGCTGTTTAAAGATTTCTCATTACGATCAGGATGGGATTCTTGGAAGTCGTGACTGGGAAAGTGGATGTCGGTTTCGGGATGGTGGTGGGATGGAAGGGGAGAGGATGGGAGGGGACGTGATGAGGGCGGCTAATGCCGTGAATGTGAGGGACAGTGTGAGTGTGAGTGTGAATGTGACGGAGAAAGCCGAGTGGTACTCATTGTCTCAGGCCGGGCTGGTGATTATGCGTCACAGACCATGGGAGAGTGGTTGCGGAGGAAGGGAGGTTGCCTAGTTGAGGATTGAGAAGGATTCTCGACAAAGATAGTTATGTCATTTCTCTCTCCTTTGCCCTACATTACTAGCTTGAGCAAAGACAGGAACCGACTTCCTGCGATAGAGCCTGCGACCAACAACTGGTCAATCTTTCGGCAGGGGAAGTCACGAGGCATGTGAGAGGGGGAAATCTGCTCGGTCAAGAGTCTATCGGAAGGGACGAGGGACATCACTCACCGAGGTGAAGAATCAAAATTCAAAGGGACAGATATTTGCCCATGTACTACTCATGCAAAACACATTATAAGACTGGAGAACTCCAGAGTCCAGGCCCTTGATCTTGTGTTATTTATGAGTGGTCAACAAGTCCAAGTCACCTTCAGCTACAGCACTATCTCTATACGTAGTAGGTAGGAGGGTGGCTTGAAGCTGATACCTCTCAGAGAAGATGAGGCGTTGCTATGTGATATGTCGTATGCGGAAGACGATGCGGAATTCTTCCGTGAACACCCAGACTCTCACCGGTTACCATCAAGATCCTCTTGCCCAAGGAGCTAATGCATCAACAACCACAGATTCACAAACAGGTCCTCGAGCCGTTCCACACAGAACCAATTTCTGGAGGCGCATATGTTTCTCTTCCATTCGAGCTCAAAGAAGTCATACATTCTATGTGACACACCATCCATACAGCAAGACAGGTTTCCCCTTTCAGCTTCGTCCACTAATCTCGACCACTCAAGCACCACAACCCATAACTTAACGCAACATCTTCAGCAGAGCTGCCACAGGCCCCATGTCCTTCGCTTCATCTCTTGGAAATATCCGTCCCGTCTTCCATGTGTACTTGACAAGTTCCTTCTTGGTGAGAAACATCTGCGGGATGGTTCCCACCTCGACAGCATCGAGGAAGTCCCAGATGTTGACGTTGATGCTTTTGAGAGCCTGGTTTTGACAATGAGGTGTTAGTATGCTGCTCTCCATATTTTTCTTTCTTTCAAATGCTATTTCTTCCGAGTTGCTCACTCAAGCTACTCCTCCCATAATTACGCGTGCGTCTTCATGTTGGTTACATCTGGACGATGAGAGCAATCCAAGAACCTAGGGCACAAAACAGGCATCATACCGAACCAGAGCGGGGATGAGAGTTGTATACATACATTTCGACATTTCCTCTTACTGGCAAAGTCACCATCCAGCCCCAGATCTTGACACAACCGCTGCCAATCCTCAAGCTCGCCGGCGCCAAAGTAGTTCTTCCATCTGATAACGACGTCGTATCTTTGGGGAGGAGCGGGTCTCTTCTTTTTACCCATGATGGTTGATGATGGCTCGAAGAAGGGGAGATTATAGGTGGCTAAACTCTTGATCTGATGACAAGAAAGACAGAGGCCGGTAACGGTCGGTCTTTGCTCGATTGGCACGTTGACTGAGGTTGACGTGGTAAACTGGCTGGGCTGGCTGGGCTGGCTGGGCTGGCTGGGCTGGCTGGGTTGGTTCATCTCCGGCACGTCAGGGTTGGACGAAAGTGGTTTCCGGGCGCGGCTGTTTTCATAACCGGGCAGGCCGCTGCGAGAGGGGAGGCTTTGCATTTCATGGTTGTGAAAAGAGGATGGACAGACGAGTGTTCTTGAGAAGATGGAAGGGGGCGTTGATAACGAAGTTGTGTGTCCGGAAACTGTTGTCAGGTCTTGTCGTTGGCCTTCTCCTTTCACGCACTCAGAAAACGGGCATTCCGCCTTTTAAGAACAAGATGTTCGTTGGCGCTGGAAGGATAGCAACGATATCCGCTGTAAGCAAAGAGTAAGAAAAACGGGAACGGGACTGACGGACTGACGGGAGTAGTGACAAACGATGGACGGACAGAGAAGAAGCTGGTAGCCGCTGGCTTCAACCTTTGATGACGACAGCAATACCGAATACCCTTCTCATGGAAAAAGCGAACGGTGGATGACCATAGATGGGGGAATTGAAGGAACTCCTTTCAACAGTCAACCCAGTGAATTGGGTCGTTGACCGTGAAAAGCATCGAATGTTGACTAGAGGTATCCAAACGCCCAGTTCATACAAGAACTCTTGAAGAAAGCTTGAGCAGAGGACCAACGACTTCTACCACAGTCTTCTTCCCCGTCATTGATTACCCACATGCCCTTCCTCATCCCGTGGCATACATCCATCAGATTTCATCCCATCATATCCAGCCTATTCCATCCTTCTCCACATCCCTCTCATGTTCTCCCTCTCACAAACTCCCCCTATCTCCATTCAGCAACCAACCAAATGCGCCCGCTCTGCCCTACCATCCCCCCCTAAAGAGACCCCTCAGCAACACCCTAACCGGTCCCACTTTATCCTTCTCCGCCATGTGCCTCGGATAGATCTTTCTGTTGGCAACCGAGTACTCCTTCAGCTGGCCGGGGTTTCCAAAGCGTTGCGGGGTGGTTCCCTGCCGGACGGCATCTAGGAGGTCGTAGATGTTGACGTGTACGGATTTCAGGACCTGTTGAAAGAATGGAATTAGACGGGGCTAGGCATGACTCGAGAGGGATAAGAGAATATGATAGCTGGGCTGACAGGCTGGGAATAAACCTGGACATGATTATGGAATCCCAGACGAGAATAAACGAAAGCAACGCACCTCACGACATTTAGTAATGGATGGAGGCTCCTTTTTGATGCCAATGTCTCGGCACAAACGCTGCCAGTTCTCGAGGGTGTTTTCGCCGAAGTAGCGGGCGAAGTCACTGACGATCCTGGGGGGACCACCTCCGTTCTTGTTCTTTTTCTTGCTCATGTTGCTTGCTTGGTGCCTTTTGATTGGGGAGTAGCTCGGCGGTTTGAGGAGAGGTAGATGGAACGAAGTAAATGGGTTCGGGAATGGCTACGTCGTTGTCCCTCAACAAGTCGAGAATGAACTGACTGTTGAATATTAGGGGTATGTGAATACCCCTTTGGACGGGAGTTGTTAGTCCCGTCGAAGTTGTCGAAGACAACAGAAAATCTCTGAAGAAAAACAGATGATTCCCAAATTCATGATCAAATGGAAAACTATCATCTTCTTAAATCTCTTCTCACACTGAGATGAAATGCGAGAGGCCATCCTCAATCAGCCGGAAAAGCCTTGTCGTTACCCTTCCTGTCTCTTTGCATATTGATGTATGAGGCCTACAGTCCGTCCCGTTCCGTCAAATCAACGTGCGAGGAGGTTTGTTCGAAAAGAGACAAATACAGAACAGCCGCCACTCAAAAGTTCCTTCCCCTCAGCTTGGGACAGCAAGAATGCCCGAGACGAAACAGACAAGGCGAATAGATGTGCTTGGGTCTTCTTTATGCACCAGCAATTGCTCATGTCAGGATGGTGGGGGCAGCCATATGGAGTTTGTTTATGAGACGAGTGTTGCAACCGGTGTCTACTACTGTCCTCCTGCTGGCGACATGTACGGCTGACGATAAGGGAACACTCCTACAAAGCTTTGAGAGTGCAGAACAAACGGATGGACTAGATGGGAACAAACGAATGACACTTGGGCTCCTGGTTGACGGGAGCTGCGAGTTCCCGTTCGGCTCCTAACAACCATTTTCAAACGTCAACGACTCAAAAACTTTCAAACATCCATAATGGCACGAGTTGAAGGCTTGTTATCATGCCACGAAGCGTAACTTCAAATCGGACTGGATGATCAGTTGATGTTGAGGCATATTTACGCTGAGCTGAAAAAAAGGTAGCATCAAGTCAGCAATATCTTTGACCCGCCGGCCAGATGGAGAGTGAGGGCAAAAATGGTAAGAGGTGCCCGATATGCCCAACGTCAGTCAACGGATGCATGAGAACTTGGGCGACGCCGCCCTCCACAACGGCGACTGGCTGACGGGCCGCTTGTATGTGTGAGCGGGCGATTCGTTCGTTGGGACAGCGATATGTAGTACAATTCTGAGCGAGATGTTGGCTCTCAGATGGGTAACACAAATGCCATGTTGTTTGTCGAGTCTTGGACTCTTGGCCGTACTGAGGAAATGGAAGGGTAGTAGATGAACCACGAAAGATTGCGAGACGGGCCGGATGAAACTTGGATCTGACTTGATGTCTTCCCATGGATATGCGATCAGCCTTTGGTTGGATGCTGGAGGCCGTTTCAACCCGGAGAGAGGGGGAGGGATGGGGCCTCAAGGCTTTATATAGGCACACTTGTAAGAGTCCAGCACACAGACGAGCTGCGATAGTGGAACAAACCATATGAATTGGACCAAGTTTTGATAGTTGGGTTGATGTTGCTCAGTTTCTGACACTGTTGCTCTTGTGGTCAATGAGTGCTTACTGATGCCTGTATCACACACCATCTCACCTAACCCTCTTTTACCCCAACCGTGCCCTTCTTTCACGAAGGGGGGTCTTTTACTTGGCACGATCACGACAGCGGGAATCCGGGGTGGGTTGAGACATGGGCAGATGAATGCCGTCAAATGTGCCTTTCCGCAGCATGTCTCGCATCCATCCATGGCCGCTGTACATATCGGTATGATGCCGACATGCCCGGGGCGTGTGAAGCATGTTGACATGCACGCCTTCCGGGGTAAATCGTGCCGTTTGTGCTTCGTGGACAGGGCACGATCAACGTTCCCACGAAATGTCGGTGTTGTCACTGGACTTCATTGGACTTCCTTCATCACTGGACTTGCTGGCGACTGCTGCTGTGCAGCCCGAGCAGGCCCGAGCTTCCTGCGGTGCGGAGAAGCTGGAAGGACCAAATCCGGAGTCGGCCACGACCGGCAGCACTTGGCCAGTGGCCTATCAGACGGGCCGGGCCCACTTGCGTCTTTTTCACTTGCTGTCCCCGGCATCGAGGGCATGCGGCTTGGGAGGCTCAGTCGGCCAGTGAAATCTGTCCCGGATGCGGCCGGCTGTGCCTGCCATTGGCTGTGAACGAGTGACAGGACGTTCCAGAACGTCATCGTCAACAGCGACCCGCGAGTTGTACCTGCGCTTGCTGTTGCCCCTTTTTCCAACACCTGGACTTGGGAGGAAAGAGCCTCCCTCAGGAGAAACCCGTTTGGGTTGAACATGTAAAAAACATATTCGAAGCCGGTCGTTGTGTTTGCATTGACGATTCCAACACTTTCTCCATGTGATGCTCCCACTTTTCTCTCAATGCCCTGCAAAGACTCCAGGTACCTTATCCCAGCGATTATCGTGCCCCACCGGCTAGCACCAGGGGCGACGACACGATGAAACCCCACCTTGCCCACCTGGGACCCGACGTGGCAGTCACACGCGGTCTCTCGGGGCGGATAAAGTGACTGTGTAATCTAATAGAGTGACGGTATCTAACCTAAAGGGGAACCTCCCTACATAGTGTGTCGGCGCATGTCAGCCGCACCAAAATTTAGCAGTAAGCAACATAGTCGCACATTCCTAACAAAGTCGTGACCTAAACACGTACCTCATAATACGTACTTTAATTATTATCATACTTTAATTATCATCACCATCATTACCACTATTATTTCTTTAGTATTTATCATTCAAAATACCTCGTTCAATTTACTTTATTAATACCTCAAAGTTTACGACCAATATAATTAATCTAATTAACGACCCCTTTCCTGCCGTCGTAATCTCTAACGATAAAGATAACGAGGTTGAATCTCCCTTATAGCTACGCCGCCTTTATAAACGAAAATAGTTTAATTATAAAATTTTCTTTATTAATATTAATACGGTGGCGAAGTTGGAAGGTTTTTATATTACTTTAATCCGCGCTACCAACTACGTCAACAGCAAACTATTTCGGTACGACTTTATATATAGCGAGAGTAAAGATAAATACGCTGGTCATATTTCTAAGAGTATCCATACGTATTTAAAGAATTCGAAGAAGGGTTATAAGTAGAAGGTAAAGGCTGTAAGGTGTAAGAAATTCAATAGTATTTAGAAATTCGATTGTAATTAATATTAATATAATTTGAATTTGAATTTAAATACCGTAGGGTATTTATTTAAATATTATTAGTTTAGGAAGATTCTTTAAATAATTAATAATATTTTTAAATATAGGAAGTAGCTTAAAAACATATTTGGGGATATTATTGCCGCTTTGTAGACCAATTTCCTAGAAATTAAGATTAAAAATCGTAACGTATTGAATATATTGGCCGCTGCTAAAGTTAAGAAGGTTAGTACCCTTATGCCTACTTAATAATTTCTATACGCTCTATAATCGGACCCTACAGTATTTGTTAAATTTTATTATAAAAGCGAGGTAGAAAAGTTCAATATACTCGCCGATAATGATAGAGATAAGGGAGGTAAAGATAATAAACCTTTCCTATATAATAATGACCGCCCGATCGATTATACGTTTTGGACATACGATTAGTATATTATTTAGTAGAGGAAGAACTTAAAGGTATAGTCTTTAAACTATATTTATAAAATAAATGGGTTCGATATACTTCTCCTATAAATTTGCAGTGTTATTTATATATATACGATTTTTAATATTAAGTATTACTTATTAAATAGCGAAAAGGAAGAATCTTTTTTTTTTTTTTTTTTTTTTTTTTAAATATTAAGAGTCCTCAAAAGATTGCTTACTAATAAAGGTATTGCTAGACCCAGCGTAATTATATTAAATTATAATTACGCTTTTAAGAGAGCTGCCCGCAATGTATTCTTTAATATTTAGTACTAAATTTATTTATAGTATATAATAAAAAACGTTACCTTTAATATTAAAAAAAAGTAGATTAATACGCTAAATAGTACGGTTTTAAATAATCGAAGTAATAACGGTAATTACCTTCGCAACAATAAGGAGAACTACGAATGCGACTACTACGGAGATAATAAGATTAATAAAATTAATAATAGTTTTATTAACCCTGCTAATAATAATAATTAAATTCGTTTCGTTAATATAAAACTACTTATAATAAAGGACCGTCGTTAATACTTTAACAAAACGATATATAATATATTATTAAATTAATTTAATAAGCAAACTCTGTTTAATTTAGCGAAGATATAGTTCGATAATATTAATAGGATTTTTTTTACTTAAGCGGCTATCGTCTACTTTAATTCGAACGAATAATTTTAAGAGCGTTAGCGAACTCTAATAATAGAATTTCCTAATTAAAAACGTAAATCTATTCCTCCTTAACGTTTTATTAATTTTTCTAACCCGGATTTTATAGTAATTATTAAATATTTACTAAAGATTTACTTGTTTATCGCGTAAAAGTTCGCGGTATTTTATATTAAATAGTATCGAAATTTCGGTATTAGAACTACGTTGCGGATAGAGGGCGCTTACAATATCCTTAAAAAACTATTTAAAAATAAATTCGTAGATTTAGCTACTCTACTTAATATTATCGAAAGGAATTTAAACTGATTAAAAGAATAGTTTGCCGTAATATATATTAAATAGATTTTTAAAAGTATACGGGAATTTAGCGCTAACGTACTACAGTAGTTATAGTATTAAATAAGTTTCGCTACCCTTAATTTAATTATAGAGTAAATCGAATTAGTAGAGAAATAGATGAAAGATAATCCGCCCTTCTATCAATTAGAGTATATTAATCGTTTTCGTATATAATATAAGTTCCCTTATTAATACGAAATTCGTTGTTTATTTTTAGGGAACGTAATATTCGTAATACTTTACGTCAATATTTACTAACGGTTTAAACCTAATATTATAAATTTTTTTCTCCAACGATTTACTAATAGAATTATACTAAATTAACCAGCTATAACTACTATCTGCCACCTTCCTGAAATTTGTAAACGAAGACGACCCTAATAAAATTATTATTCGTTAACTTCCTCTTAAAAAACCAAAGTCTATGATAACGTAGATTAATTAGTGGTAAGAGGTATAGATTGCGAGTTTTATAAATATAATTAATACGTTAATAATAATAAACGCGAGCTAGCTACTGCCTAATATTGTACTTCTAGCGATGGTGCTACTAGTATTAGTAGCCTTATAAGCGGTAGCCTTATATACGCGGGGTAATAACGAGCCCCCAGTGCCCTTATAGAACTATACAGCGTAGTATAAGGAGCAGATTATATAATTCTAGTGGGTATTATTATGTATAATAATATAAGACTTTATTTCTATACAATTCTAACCTCTATAGACTACTTAACTACAAAAAGTATAATTATATTACTTACCGCTAAATTTTGGTACGGCTGACATTTTCTTATTATGTGGGGAGGTTCCCCTTTAGGTTAGATACCGTCACTCTATTAAATTACACAGTCACTTTTTCCGCCCCGGTCTCTCTGCAGGTTGAGGCTCCTCCAAAAAGGCGACTTGTGAAAATAATGCCGAAGGAAACTCGGAGAAGGAGTGAGACTGTGAGAGAGAAAAAAGAATTTGCGACTCCGCCTGTGCGACACTGACGATGGCCTTTGAAGGATCCAGCATCATCAGCATGAACCTGTGAAACGTGGGAGATGACGCCAGATTCCCAGATCTTTATCTGATATTTCTGACAGCTCTCGGTGCCTGTGAAACCTCGGTGACGCCCAACTTCCTCGAGGTCTCTGTTATAGGTGAAGGAGCATGGACAACAAAGTTCCAGGAAGCCTGTAGATGCTGAGGACTTCCATTCTGCCAGACAACCTAAGACACCGCCTGTTCTTGGGTTGAAGGCACCTTCCGGGATTCAAGTGAATCACAGCCGAAAAAGCGCAGATCCCAAAAAAGTGGAAGATAAGGCGAAGTTCCATGGCATCAACGTCTCGATAGGGAATGAGCACACAAGGGTACCTTCCACACAAGCGGTAGCGGCATGGGGCTCGCTGGAAGACACGAGGGGTACGTACCGGTTCTACCACTGATAAAAGTCGACAACGTGTCAGGCTAACCTTCAGGTCAAATTCCGTTCAACCCGCCAGTCCCCTCCATCTTCTAAAGATGGCAGTTACGAGTGAGCTTGGTGCTGCCACTCTCGGGCAATCGGAAAGGACGGATTGCGACAATTTCTGGTTTCTTTAAATTCTTTTCTCAGCTGTTAAAATGTCTGGTGCCAATGCACGGCCGACAGTAACTGCAATGACACTGCAACGAGTGACCACATTGTGCGGCAATCTGCAAATGCCCACTGCATCAAAGAACAAAAACCACATGGAGATCCAACCTCAACCAAGGTTAGACTACCTCAAGACCGCAGCACATGTCAGGTCAGGAAGCCGTCCCGAAGCCTCCTGCGCATTTCCATTCATCTCTTCGTCTCTCCATAGCGTGTGATCCAACGGGCCGGAAGAGTCTTCCATCTTGTCTTCACTTGTCTCTTTCATCCTCTCTTCTTTGCTTCATAAGGATTTTCCATTGTTTACTTGCTCCTGACTCCTGTCCTTACATCACCAACTACGCAAACCAACTCCAACTGCCTCTTCGAACCGTCGTCAACCTACCTCCAGAGACTACACAGTACATACAGCAGCGGCGAACAACCACCCGCATCATCCCTCCATCGATCCCCCATCATCTCCATGGGCCTATGGACCCGGACACGCAAGACAGGCCCTGGATTTTCCCGATTTTCTTGTCTACTTTCCACTTTTCCCGCAATCCAAACCCTTCCAACCCCACCCGCCTAGTCAAATTGTACCATTGCCGCCGTCCTCATTGGCTCATGGCCAAGGTGTGCCCAAGGTCAACGTCCTTTGAGCAAAAGGGAAGCTCCATTCGAGGGCATCAGGCCCGTCCCGGGGCTCGTCGGCCACCGTCTCCATTCCCGGCTTGGCAGCCCTAGACGCCGGTGGACGCCTAGGACGCCCTAGTCTGGCTAGCTTCATGCGAACATTTCTTCACGACCCCGTCCGAACCCACCAAGGATAGATCCTGGATCTCCAGTTCCACGCTGCCGAGGGAATGGCATGGTGGGACTCGTCGCGCCGGAGCCTTGGGGCTTCACAGAGATCCAAAAAACAACATCCTGCTGTCGTCGAACCTCCAGCCCCTGCTCCTAACGGTCCTCACCAAAAGCCTCGCCATATCGACACACACACTGTCCCGCCTCACTTGACCATGGAACTGGAGAGGGCCCTGCTATCGCCCATTACAGAGGAACAGCCCGTTGTAGCGACACTAGCAGAGGCAACAAACACCGGCCCTCTCGTTGTCCACGTCCATATCCAGTTCCACGACCAGGACCTTCACTCCGTCACTCACAGCCAGACATATGTTAGCTCGCCATACTTCGAACCTACGGGGAGGATATGCAATGGCTTGCTTCGCCGCATCGAGCACTGCTCCGAGGAGCTCATCACCCGGACCGATCCCACGGCCCTTGACATGATCAAGGAAGGGACTCACGACCGTAAGCCATTGCGCTTCGAACTCACCTATCGCGTCACTAGAGCTGGATGGATGGGGGAATGGGCCGTCAGGACGTACAGGTCGTATCAGCAACGGCCCTTGACAGCCGCGTCGGCCAAGGAGGTCATCATCGCAAGTCACAAGACGATAGGCATGTTTTTCCGACGACATGACAGTGATTTCCGATGGTTGGGGGGCTCTGTTCTCGATGCGACTACCGAAACCGCCGAATCTTCTCTAGAGTCAGAGGTTGGGCAGATGTCGCTCGGTGCTGTTCCCTCACCCCGATTTGTCGAGGAGTCCCAGACGTTTGAAACCGTCCCCGGTTACAGTATCGAGGTCGCCTTCCGACACAGGAACCCACGACGACTTATTCTGGCATTCAAGAGGGTAGTCAAGGTTTACAGCAAACAGGCGACTCCTCTTACGGCCGAGATGGGCAGAGATCTACTGGCCAACGGAGCGGAGGCTATTAATCGCAGCTTAGGTCTCAGGAAACAGAAGCTCGAAATTCATGCGCAGCAATGTACAACGATGACATGCCAGCATCGCGACAAAACGGCCCTCAACATCGACGTGAGGATATCAAACGGAATGGGGCCTTCTCACAACAACCTACAGCGCAGCATAAGAAGCTGTCTCTCGTTATTTCACGATTCTCATGGCGAAGATTTTGTACGAGATGTTGCGGAGTCCCTTGCAGATGTCACACAGGCCGTCGACACTCAGATCAACCAAACGAACGATTTCGAATTTACGATAGTCGAGTTGAAAGGAATGAAATGGTCAGTTCAGGAACCAGCGACATTCACAGTGAACGCTTCTGCATCGCACGAGCGACGAGACATCCAGGCGGTTTTGGACCGTATCCAGACCGGCATCGGCGATGTTCTACAGGGGCATAACACAGCTGTACGTGTCAACGCACGAAAACGGGGACATCTGGTGTTCCAGGAGGTGATACAAACACATGAGATACCCGGAAGGTTAAAAGAGACTTTCCAATCACCCGAGGAGGAACGGTCTGTCCTTACATCCCGACTTAAGGAACGAATACAGAAGGATATAGATATGATTTTCAAGGACACCTGCTCAATCGACGACATTGCGCTGGAAGAGGAAGAGAGACACTCTCACCCAATCGAGGTTCCGCGCTCGCCGGGTCTCTCAGTTGAGTGGCCTGAGAGACAAAACGGGCCGTCACTAGAATTTCCCCCTTTATCGGCAAAGACTTCCACCGAGCGAGTCAACGACAACCCAATATCTTTCGTCAAACGAGCATTCTCCCTCAAACGCCGTTCCACATCATCATTAAGGCAAAGTCTACGGTCTATTGCTAGCAGCAGATCCAGTTTGAACAGCCAAGATGACACCTATTCTGTTAACATTCCACATATTCCCGATATCCCCGCGAGGCCGGTATCTCCCACTCCGGCAACATCAACAAAGTCCTCGAAGAAAAGGTTCAGCCTCGGCAAGAAAATTTCCAACATGTTCAAATCGAAAGACTCCAAAACCGACTCGAAAAGCGATTCGAAGAACGATTCGAAGAACGATACCAAAAGCGAGTCGAGCTCTAAGCGACGGTTTTTCAGGTCATCCTCCTCAAAAAGTACTAATCCAGCGCCTGCAGCACCTGCAGACCCAAAGTTGATGCGAGCTCACACCACCATGGAAGCAAGCGGCGGTCGGACGCTGCATCGCCCTACGCGTTCGATGACGTCGAATCCATTAGGTAGCTATGACGCCACTCATGCCGCAAGAGGATCTGTTGAACACCCTCGACCCTTCCAAGCAGCAACCCCAAACCTGGCGAACAGGCACGGGTTTGCATCTAAAACTTTCGAGACATATCTACAACCGACAGAACCGCGATGGTCTGTTGATCGTTTGGAACGACCCGTAATGGATACTCCGCAGCTCTATGAGGATGCCAAAGAGTTCCCGCACCAACTGCTCACCCCGGGGCTCACGACACGAAGCACCGACACCCCTAATTCCTTCCATTGGTTGGTGAGCCCCGGAGCCGATGCATACTCTACGGCACCGTCGACACCCGCATTGAGTTTAGGTGGAGGGTCTTCGCCAAGGCACAGCTTGCTAATAAGCCCGATACATGTGAGGCATCCGGAGTTGAAAGATAATACTTCGAGCGATTTTGAACCTGAATCCGAGCCCGAGGAGCCCGAGGTTGGGACTGGGGCAACTGCGGTGGGCACTTCGGTCGCGGCGGAGACGGAAGATTTGGAGCCTCCGGAAGATGAAGTGCGATCCATAGTATTCGCGCCCCAGAACTACACTACACAGCCTGAACAAGTAGCCGACGGGTCCGATGAAGAAGCTGTAAAGCCAGAGTCTCATGATGCCAGCGCAACGGCCATCTCGGTAGAAGACACCACGGCTGCGCCGTCGGATTTGTACAGTGAGCCACCACCATCACCATGATTATTTCCCCTATCGCACAATAGTCTAACTCTTGCACCCAGAAACAGAACCGGAGCCTATAATATCGGGCGAGACATTGGCTTCTGAGAATCGAGAGCTCGGAACCGAACCTGCACCACTGTCCAATGAGACTGCGCCTGAAGAGTCGGACTTCCCCAACCCTGATGTCCGTCCGCCGCAGCCCAGCCATGAGACAACGGTCTCTGTGGATGCCCGCGATGCAAATTCGGAAACGAAGTCGGCTCCAGATAATGGGGCCGAAACGAAAATTGCTCCCGTTGTCCAGAATGAAAATAAGGTGGTTGCGCCTGAGACCGACTATTTCAAGGATTTCGAGTCTCTTGCCGAAAGCAAACCGACCGCGGATGTCATAGGCTCCGATATTAATGCGACTGAAGCAAACGGCCCCGGCTCTCCGGTTGATAACCCTGTCGATGACCTCAACGGCCTTGTTGCGGAACCGGCGATTACCCAGTCCGGGCCCGAGGAGGACAAAACCGAGCATCATGATGACCATAAAATCGACTCCCAAGAATCCGACGTGGAGGATGTGACCACCTCCTCTACCGAGGCGGTTGCTCATGATGTCCAGCCAACTGTGAACCAGTTTCAATCCGGTCCCGAAGAAAAGGCTGCTGAGCCGGATAACCATGAGGCTGACGCCGTCACAAGCGAAACCCGTCTTGAGCCCCCTTCAACGGATGAAGTCAGCCAAGATCTTAATGATAATGTTTCTGAAGATGAGGATGTCCGCGCGCCTTCAGCGGACGAAACAAGTCCTATCGCTGAGCTTACTGCTCAGAAGCCCGAGCAAGTGCAGTCCAGCCCTGAAGTAGAGGCACCCGAAGCAGGGGAAGATAACATCAAACTCCCTACTGAGGATCTGAAGCAGGATGGGTCCGTGGATTTTCCAAGTGACTTATCCAAGCCTTCGGTTATGGATCACACTATCTCCGAAGCATTAGGGGAGCCCGCGGAAGCCAGGGAAAACATGGTTCAAACGGACACATCAAGCGAGGAGTCTGTCTCCGAACATGACAAGGAGTCCTCCGAACTGGCAGAGGATGACAGTATCTCGCCCGCGGAGTTCCAAACACTCGTCGAAGATCAAGAGGAAGAAGACATGATCAATACCCTCGCATCACTTCACATCTCCAATACCGACAAAGCTACGGGCGCTCCATGGACAAGTGCCGTCGGTCCCGCATCAGAGCTTCTTGAGTCCAACAGTCAGCACCTTGACGGGAGTGCACTGGTGGCGCACGTAGAGATCCCTGATCTTGAAACTCGGGAGCCATCGGGTGTATCAGTGCCCGTCGAGTCCAAGGAAGATGTTCACTTCGATCATGACACATCCGAGATCCCCGATGAAATACCGAGCAACCTCAAGCAAACGGATTTGGAGTTTGAAGAGAAGGACTGGCCTCACTCGCCGGTAGACAGCAATTCCTTCCAACCTTCTGAAGCTCTGGACTCCAAGTCTGAGGCTATTGATGTCTCTGAGGGCCCTGAAGTGGCGGCAGAGTCTCCCGATATCCAGGAGAATGATCGTAACCACATCGCCCCCGAAGCTCCTCTTCCGCTTGAGGAGGCTCCCGATGCTCAACAAGTCCAGAAGCCGGAGGTGGCCCTACCAGAGGTTGACAGGGCTGACGAGCCAGTGGCTGTGGCTGTGGCTGCTGTAGAGCAGACTCCTGATGCCGAGGAGGATTACGAGCTGTCATTTGGTACGGTTGAAACAGTGGCAGATATCGATGCTGTCGAAGCTGTTGATGATGTCCAGCACGTCGAGCACGTTGAGGATGTCGGGACTACCTTTGAAGCCCCGGATTCACAAGAAGACGAAGACCTTGAGGTCAGCGCCACTGATCCCGACGTGGCCGCTCAAAATGTTAGCGATTATGAGGAGCGGGACCAGCCTTTCGTTAGCACCTCAGACGTTGTTGAGCGTGGCCATGCTTGTGATGAGGTCTACGATAATTGGGATGTTGACATTGAGGAGAAGCCTCACTTCAATGAGAGGGACACCGAGTATCGTGATCCCACTTTTCCTCAATTCTGGCCCAATTCTTCCTCGGTCTTCATTCCGTTCGCCCCTCAGGAGGCCCTGGACAATGACACTGAGCTCTTTCATCCCGATTCTATGTCCACCAACGACGTTCCAATTCTCGGCGTAGAGACGGTTGAGTATCGCGACCCAATTCTACCGCAGTTCCGTCTCAACGATGTCCTCGAGACTGCCGCTCGTTCTTATGCCGTTAGTGAGGCTGCAGAGGAGGGCTTTGAGGCTTTCGAACCTACCAAAGCAGTTAGCGGTCGTGTGGAAGAAAAGGCCAGTTACCGCGATCCCACCATGCCCCAGTTCCGGCCTCATGTGCTTCTGCAACCGACGCCCATCCCTCTGGTCTCTCATGATGAAATGACTGAGGATAGCAATGCCTCTCAACAAGCCGTGGAAGCATCCAAGGAGGAAATTTCACATCGGGGCGAGGACGAGACTGAGTACCGTGATCCTACAATGCCTCAATTCCGGCCTAATTCCTCTGGCTTTGTTCAGCGCCCCTCGGTTTATGCTGTGATGGCGGAGACGGATGGATATGAGGAGCCGCCGGCTTCACTCATCGATGAGACCTCGGTCGAGACTCTCAAGTCTAGCGAGGACGATTTCGATTATCGTGATCCTACAATGCCCCAATTCCGACCTAACTCATTTGGCGTTGTTCGGCGCCCCTCGGTTTCTGTTGTGCTGGCAGAGACGGATGGATATGAGGAGCCACCAGCTTCACTCATCGATGAGACCTCGGTCGAGACTCTCAAGCCTAGCGAGGACGATCTCGATTATCGTGATCCTACAATGCCTCAATTCCGACCAGACTCAGATGCTGAAAGCATGCCCATTCCCTCCGTCTCTGATGACTCAGTCGATGAGCAAGGAGAGCAATCTGATGTGCCCGCTGAAGATGACAGCGAGGAAAGCTCTCAAGGTGATCGAAGCGCCGAGTACCGTGACCCCTCTTCTCAAGGTGATCAAAGCGCCGAGTACCGTGACCCAACAATGCCCCAATTCAAGCCGAACTGGGACGGTCCGGAGTTACCTCACCTCAGCCAAACTGGCGCTGAGCAACCGACACAAAATAACGTTGAGCTGACCAACGTTGGGCCTATTGAGACTGAGAAGGGCGAGGATGCAACTACAGAAGTCCACGCAGAAGATACAGATTCTCCCGAGCAGCTCGATGAGTCCACTCAGCCTGAGCATATCGCAACTGAAGCTCCTGACACTGAACAAGTTAGAGACATGCAGGTTGAATCGGTTGAGTCTGATCATGCCCGCGTTGAAGTGCCGGAAGCAAAGTTTGTGGAGGTAGAGCCTCCTGAACACATCCAGCCTGATGCTGCCCCTGCTACTGAATCTGCGGTCGACACTCATTCCGTTACTGAGGATAAAGAGGCCGAGGTTGAGCCCAGTGAGCCCGCGAACGTGGACTCTCGACCTCTGTTTCGGCCAGCCCTTGAGCAATTCCAAGAAAACCAGGAGGAGGAGCTCTCCCAAGATCAGTATGACACTCTTTTGGAGCCGGCTGACCTTAGGTCCGCTACCGAGGATGGCAAGATTGAAACCGGCGCCACTGAGCTTGTTGAGAGTGATTCTGAGTCTGCGTCTGAGCCAGCTTCTGAGTCAACTTTTGAGCGCATCCCAACCACCGGAGAGGAGGAGCTTTACCAGGATCAGTTTGATGCACTCTTTGAGCCGAGAGAAGAGCACAATCTGCGAGTGGCTTCGGATGATGCAGCGCTCAAATTCCCGGAAGTCTCAAAGATCGGCCAGGTCGAGTATCGCGACCCAACGATGCCTCAGTTCCGACCAAACGTCTTCCTTCCGTACCGCGATCCCACCATGCCTCAATTCCGGCCTAACGCAGTCAGGATAATATCTCCGATCTCTGTCCCTGAGAGAGTGCAAGAACCAATCGAGGAGCTCGATCCTGACTACATCGTTGAGCGTACCATGGATGTCCTTGATCAGCTTGAAAGCGAAGAGAGAGCGGGTCTAAATGAAGAAGTCATCGAACACGCGATCGATCTGTGCGAGCAAGTTCTTGAGCAATTTGGCGCCGAGGCTGAAGAGACAGAAGACCTTCTTGAGCAGCTCGAGACCGAACAAACCGAGCGCGCCAAGGAGTTGCTCGAACATACTATCGATGAACATGCTCCCGAAGAAGCCGAGGATATCCCTGAGCAAATTGAGGCCGAGGCTGAACAAACAGAGGGGCTTCTTGAGCAGCTTGATACCGAACAAGGTGAACGCGCCAAGGAGCTGTTCGAGGAAGCCACCACTGAGCATGCCCTCGAAGAAAATGACAATGCCCTCGAACAGATTGAGGCTGAGGATGAACAAACTCAAGAGCTTCTTAAGGAACTCGATGCCGAACAAGTTGAGCGCACCATGGAGCTATTCAAGGAAGCTATCACCGAGCATGCTCTTGAAGAAACCGACAATGCCCTTGAGAAAATCGAGGCCGAGGCTGAACAAACTGAGGAGCTTCTCAAGGAACTCGACACTGAGCAAACCGAGCGGACCCTTGAGATCGCCCAAGACCTCGAGATCCAGCACTCACTCGAGGAAAATGAGAAGACGCTTGAGCAGCTTGACAACGAAGCCGAACGCACTGAAGAGCTCCTTGAACAGGTCGATGCTGAGCAAACGGAGAGGGTCGAAGAGCTCCTCGACCAGCTTGAGACAGAGAAGGAGATTGAGCAAAATGAGGCAAGCCTCGAAGAGATTGATGCCGAGGCCGAAAAGAATGAAACGCTGCTCGAGGAGCTTGATGTCAAGCAACATGAACGCGCAGAGGAGATCCTCGAGCAACAAGGGTCTCAGCAAGATGTCAACCCCACTGCTGCGGACGAATCAACAGAAGAGCCCATCAACCCCCCAGTGGCTGAACAAGCAATTGATATCCCTGAATCGTTTCTGGATGAGTTCCCCGAAGACAAGGAGCAAACCGCCCCCTCGGCTGTCCTTCCTGCCGAAGCTGCGGTCGCGGAGGCTGCTGCTGAGGTGCCACTTGCGCCCCACGAATTGGTGTCAGCGCCATCCACTCTTGGGCGCGCTGAAACCGGTACCACTGAGATGCAAGATACTCCTCAACAGCCTACTGTCGCCGTGGTTGATGAGGCTACTGTCAGTGAGCCGAGTGTCATCCAGAATGGTCAGCTTGAGCATCCCGGGATTGAGCTCGCCAATCTCGAAGATGAAGGTCTCGAGGATGCTGATATGGAGTCCGATGTCCCTGCAGTTGAGCCTACTAATGGCCCTGTCATTGTCAATTGTGACACGTGGGTTGAGCATACTGATCTTGGAGATATCGTTCTGGAGACCCCTGCTTCTGTTGTTCAGCGAGTGGTTGAGGAGATTTCAAGGCATGAGCCAATCCTCCAACAAGTCCACCCAGAATTCCCCAACATCGAGCACGCCAACCTTGAAGATGAAGGCCTTGAAGATAGCGAGTTGCAAGCAGACGTTACTGCCGCTGAACCCGCGGCTGAGCCAGTTGTGATCAACTGCGACACCTGGATCGAGCATGCTGACGTTGAGGATACTGGTGTTCAGGTCTATGAACCAATCCTCCGACAAGTCCACCCAGAGTTCCCCAACATCGAGCACGCCAACCTTGAAGATGAAGGCCTTGAAGATAGCGAGTTGCAAGCAGACGTTACTGCCGCTGAACCCGCGGCTGAGCCAGTTGTGATCAACTGCGACACCTGGATCGAGCATGCTGACGTTGAGGATACTGGTGTTCAGGTCTATGAACCAATCCTCCGACAAGTCCACCCAGAGTTCCCCAACATCGAGCACGCCAACCTTGAAGATGAAGGCCTTGAAGATAGCGAGTTGCAAGCAGACGTTACTGCCGCTGAACCCGCGGCTGAGCCAATTGTGGTCAACTGCGACACCTGGATCGAGCATGCTGACGTTGAGGATGCTGGTGTTCAGGTCCAGGTGCCTGGTGTTGTGTCTTCCGGTGGGGAGACGACCATGGGATCGATCGTGATCCCTGTTCAATCATCGCACGAAGAAATACCTGCTGAGAAGTCTGACACTCCTCTTGCTGAACCTACGCCCATGTCTGAGTGTGTCGCTAAACCTGATCTTGAGAATCTGGCTGCCACTGAATCTCAATCCGAGCAAGAGACCAGCACCAATGAGCCGAAGATCGATAGCGATATCAACGAGGATGAGCCTTTGGCTAGTCAGGTTTCGCATGAGCAAGATGCGGATCTTGAAGAGCAAGACACTCTTTCCGAAGTGGTTGATCGAAGCTTGGGTGATGCTCCTGGCGCTGAAGACACAGATGACTCGACTGGCGATGTGGATACAAGCAATACCGATGGGTCTCTCAGAGTCGAGTCGCTTGATAACCTCATTCGATCCGCGGAGGCTGTTGAGAAGAAGCTGAGAGAACTCCCTGAAGCTGAGCCTGCCACTGGCGAGGATGAGAAGGCTCAGGGTGAGGAAGTGACACCGGCTTTGGAGCCAGTTGAGGAGCCGTTGCCCCCGGCACCCGAGGCGATTACCGAGGAGACCGGAGACTTTGACAAGATTCCGCTTGCCATCCCAACGTTTAAACAGGAGGATGTGATCGCGGAACAGGAAATGCTTCAAAACATCCCAGCAGCTGCCCTTCCTGAAGCAGCTGCCCTTCCTGACCTGTGTCTCCTTGAAGAGATCGCCCCCCACCAGCCAATGTCTGCCCCAGCAATCAGCCTCGTCATCGTCACTAAAGAGCCATCAGAGCCAGCCCAGCAACTGTCTGACATCCCCAATCCCCGTCAAGCAATCGGAATCAGTCCTCGGGGCTCTGTTGACACCATCCGTGGCTCTGATGTTGACGAGGAGGAAGCCCCTGAACTATACGCTCCTCCTCCCACAGCTGGTTTCTTCGGCTTCCATCACTATCACGAGAACAAGTGGACTAAGGTCGGCTTGCTCGAAGTCTTGATCAACTCGACCTCTCGTCGCTTCAGTCTTCCCCTTCAGTCATTGTTGCGTCGCGAGCATAGGTCCGACGCTCGTGAATAAGCGACACTGGCTGGCTTCATTGAGCCGGGAAAAAAACAACAACAAGAAAAGAATGAATGAAAGAGCGTTATGGGCGGATGCGCGAAGGAAAAAAGGCGTTGAGAAAGGTTCACTCACAGTTGACACATGCTTTTGACTCGGAGGGGGAAAACAACAATCACGGTTCTTTATTTTGCATACACATATACCCCCCTCCGCTCTCATACACTGCATGTTTATGGTTCTGCATTCGGCGGTCTTCTGCCCTGTCGTTCCAACGAGTTTGTATATTCACTGGGATCGTTTGATTGGGGGTTTGGGTTTTACGCATTAAGGATGAATTCGGCGTTTTGCATTCATGATATACCACGAAACTAAATGGATGGTTGGGGGTTGGTTCGGTGGCGGGATGGTAATACGGGGAAGGCTTATACACAATTATCATTATATACCACTTTCCTATGAGAACATACAAAACGGATGGATGGGAAACTGGGAAGACGGATGAGAGCAAAAAGAAGATACCCGAGATGGGATGGGATGGCAGGCAACGCGAAGCAACAAGTCAAGCAATAGCAGCATCCTTTTATGATTTATGCCTTTACGCTGCATAAGTAACAAGAATTGAACTTGACGAGACGGAACGGAATGGATTGTTATGATGGGGGCATGGGAATGGCAACGGGGATAGATGGATGGAATAACAAGAGATTTTAAATACCAATGCTAGTTTTGTTTAGCGCATGCACACCTCCTACTCGGAGGAAATGTCACTTTAAGGTTGGCACATCTATTGTTGCCGCCTAGTTGACCAATTAATTGCTTCAAAAGTCCCAAGAAGAACGAAAGATGTGGCGTGTCACCAGGAAGGCATAGCAGTAGACGTAGTAGTAAACCAGGAGTTGCCTCCGCTTTTTCTTTCAAATGAACTATCCAGACTTTATCATTACATCGCCCAATAGACATGTACGTTGCAAGATGCTTCTCTCGGATATCATGCCGTTGAGAAGGTGACCAAACTCCAAAAACAACCCAAGAATTTATTAAGATTCGCCCTTTATAAACGCCCAACTGTGAACCAGATTTTGTGTAACCGCGCTATGTATGTATGCTTGAACCGTAAACAAGACTGAGTAAAAGAAGTGAAGAGACGGGTGAAGAAAGAGAAACAACCTATGAAGCAGCGACGGCAGCGGCGACTGGCTGCGAGGACTGCTGTTCAACGGCGGATGCAACAGCATTAGCGGCGGCTTCGACGGCCTCGGAAACGTTGATTCTCGTCGAGGGAGGGGGCTGCTGCTTCTCGGCTTCCTCGTCACCATCCTCCCTCTTCCTCTTCAGATTCTCCTGCTGGGCAACATCATTCGTCAGGTCGTTCTTGTTCTTCTTCTTCTCGTCTCCTGCCGTCTCCACCTTGGACTTATCATTACCGCTGCTGGTGCTGCTTCCATCGACAGTAACAAGCTTCATGAGCTCATCCGTCCTCCTCGCCATCTCCACGAGTTCCTCGTCGCCCGTCAACCCCAACACCTCCACGATCTTCCCGTAGCTCTTGCAAGGCGTCAGCTCCCTGTACTTGGGGCTCTTGCCGGGCACCATCTGCGTCAACATGAACTTGGTGTTGTGGAACTTGTTCTCGACCTCCATCGCGAAACGGACGTACTTGGCCACGGCCTCCTCCCACGTCGCCAGCCCGCCGTCCGCCTTGGCGCGGAAGCACGAGCCGTTCTTCTCGGCGCAGGTCGCGATCATGGCGCCGTCGGTGCCGTACTCGGCCATCAGCTCGAGCGCGTGGTCCCGCCCTTCGACGTCGCCGTTCACCACGCACGCCACCCCATACTGGTGGCACACGTCGGCGATCATGCGCAGCTGGCCGCGGATGGCGCGCTCGCGCGGGCGCATGGGCGTGGTACGGCAGTGGATCGTCAGGCCGGTGATGCCCGTGGCGCAGAGCCGGCGGACGAGCGCTTCGGTTTCGGCGGGGGTCTCGAGCAGGCGGATCTTGACGCTGATGCCGATGTCGAAGGCCGGCTTGATCTCGGCGACGAGGGCTTCGAGGATGGAAACGAGCTTGTCGGGTGTACGGAGCAAAGCGGCGCCCATGCCGGCGTGCGTGCTGAAGGGCTTGGGGCAGCCGGCGTTGACGTCGATTCCTGATACATCGGCGGCGACTAGCTTGGCGCACTCGACGGCTCTGGTTGGGTCGGAGGTGCCGATCTGGAAAATGTGTTGGCCGGCTTCACGGACGGGGTCGATACGGTAGATGACGGACTCGTCGAAGAGTTCCTTCTTGACGTTGTTGGTGGGGACGCGAGTCCATTCGACGCAGCCGGTTCGGGAGTTGATACGGCGGGTGGTTCCGATCATGGCACGGTCGATGGTCTCGGGGCCTGTTGAGAAACAAGGGTGTTAGTCAAAGTCGAAGGCTGTAGTCGTAGTTTGTTGGACGCACCCCATACGAGATCAGCACCGTAATGAAGAGCCAGCAAGCGTGAGGGAAGTTCTCCAGAGCGAACCATGGGAGCCAAAACGATCTTGCCACGATAGTCGACGCCCCGCGACGGGATGGGCACCCTCTTCTGCGTGAGGCCGGCGGCAGCAGCAGCCAGGGCCGGGGCCGTCTCTTCGGTAACGGATGTCATGATGGTTCGGACGAGGCGCAATGGAGAAAATGGCATATCATCTGTTGGCGTCTCTGCCCGGACAGAGGAGGAAATGGAGGGGAGAAAAGGGCGCGGTGCCGGGGGCGACGTGAGGTGTTGAAATCGGAATTTCTAAAAGATGGAATTTCTGGATAGCGTTAATTCGATCTGCGATCGGCGGGCGCCGAGGCGGGCTGGCCACCGATTGTTGCGCTCGGGGTGGGGCCGAGGGAAGCCGGAAACTCGGCATTAACCCTAACCCCCCAACACAGCTTATGAGCACCCTTGAGGTTTGTGAATGCCGTTATCAGATGAACGGAAGGACTGAGCATCAGATCGTTTTCACCCTATGACTCTGGCGTTTCAGGAAAACCTGTACATGCCGAAAATCGACTACTCCTGATCATGAATTATGTTCCTGAGGTAGAACCATGATGATGCTCGTCCTGATCAATATTCTAGAAGGATGGATTCAGGCTATCACTTCAAGGACAACTTTGTTCTTGTAGTCAGCTAGCAACACAGCGGAGCATTACTTACAATGTCACCAGTGATGGACGGCGAACATAGTCCCCAGAGGTGGTGCTCTTCGGTTGAAAGGGGGCCTTGTTGTTATTCAAGCCACATGAGGCTGAGTTCAGTTGAACAGTCCATCTTCAAGTCCCCAAAATGTCTGTCCCCCACGAGACTCGATCGTCAACTCGTTTGAGGTTGATGACAGCGCATCGATTCATTTGTCTCAAAGAGTTCCCAACTGCAACGAAGCGTCCGGGGTTGAGTCCCCTCTGCAGTGACAGCGGTGAAGGTACAAGATACAGTGGACAGCACACGCTGGAGCCAAGCTCCGCTCTTCGGAAACGTTACCTTAGTAGGAAGTGGCCCCAGCTCACTCAGCCCGAGCCTCAGGGCCCTGGAAGCATTGATTCACGAGGGGCTGTTTGTCGAGTCTTGAGTGGTTGAAAAAGAAGCCGCGGCCAAATGGAACCGAGTGAGCGACCAGACTTTATCACAGGAACAGGGCATCCGAATACCTACAGCACCCCTCCCGACGCTTTTTTCAAACCATCTCACCTGCCGTGACTCTACGCTAGCCGTTAAATGCAGTCTCAGAGCCTTATCAGGTTGCGGTTGCTGCCAAAGACGCGGTGCCGGCCATTGCACTTCCCGTCCCAGAGCAACTTAAGCACCAGACAGCACAGCACGCTTCCGCTCCCGCACCCGCGCCCGGGCCCGTCGTCGCAGCCACACATCTTCCACGGCCACGGCCACCTCCCGTCCATCCAAAACATGCCGCCACAATTCGGCCGTTCCGGCCAATCGGAGGCCCGCACGCTGGCGTCACTTAGCGGGCCCCAGTCCAATTCCACCCACACCCGGACCCAGACCCCTCCCCCTCCATCTGGCAATGGATCGGGGGGAGCTGCCCAATCTCCGAATACAAAACCGCTGTCCACCCTGGCGAGACCAAACATCACCACCGCCATTTCCTCCGCCAGAACACAACAGATTGCCCGGCATCTCTCGTCGAGCTCAGTCGCAACTATGGCTTCCCAGTACAGCATCCGCAAGGTCGGCGCTCCCTACACCTTGGAGCACCGCGTCTACGTCGAGAAGGATGGCGTCCCCGTCTCGCCCTTCCACGATATCCCGCTCTACGCCAACGCCGAGCAGACCATCCTCAACATGGTCGTTGAGATCCCCCGCTGGACCAACGCCAAGCAGGAGGTATGGAGTTGAAGAGGGTATCCCGCGAAGCCACAAACGAGGCTGATGGCGGGGTATTTACCTCGCCCCCTTTTCACGCGCACGCAGCCTGCTAATAACTCTCCCATAGATCTCCAAGGAGGAGCTCCTGAACCCCATCAAGCAGGACACCAAGAAGGGCAAGCTCCGTTTCGTCCGCAACTGCTTCCCCCACAAGGGCTACCTCTGGAACTACGGTGCCTTCCCCCAGACCTGGGAGGACCCCAACTCCATCCACCCCGAGACCAAGGCCAAGGGTGACAACGACCCGCTCGACGTCTGCGAGATTGGTGAGCTCGTCGGCTACACCGGCCAGGTCAAGCAGGTCAAGGTCCTCGGTGTCATGGCCCTTCTCGACGAGGAGGAGACCGACTGGAAGGTCATTGTCATCGACGTCAACGACCCTCTTGCCTCCAAGCTCAACGACGTTGAGGATGTTGAGCGTCACCTCCCCGGTCTTATCCGTGCCACCAACGAGTGGTTCCGCATCTACAAGATCCCTGACGGCAAGCCCGAGAACCAGTTCGCCTTCACTGGCGAGTGCAAGAACAAGGAGTGAGTTTCACCGCTTTGTCACCACAACTGCACATGCATGAAAGGCTAACAAATAACAACAGCTACGCCATGGACGTCGTCCGTGAGTGCAACGAAGCCTGGGAGCGTCTCATCACCGGCAAGACTGCCCCCGGCGGTGTCTCTACCACCAACGTCACTGTCCAGCACTCCAACAGCCGTGTTGCCCCTGAGCAGCTTCCTCCTCTCCCCGCCAACGAGGAGCTCCCCCCTGCTCCCATCGATAGCTCCATCGACAAGTGGTTCTTCATCAGCGGTGCTTCCGCTTAGAGAGCTCATTTGTTGAGATAGAATAAAGACATCTTTTTTTGGCGCCTCGTTGTCTTGATTAATTCGTGAACCGCCCTCCATGGGTTAACTGTTATCCTCATATCTTTGTTTTGCGTAGAGTTGGACCCTGTTTCGATAACATGTGTCTGGAATTTGGTGGTTGTAGGGTTCGTACTGTCAGAAATGGGTCTTCTCTGAGGCTGTAGTCCGGGCCATAGGATAGGAACTTGTGGAGGAGATGTTGACATTCTCGCTCCATGAGTTTTGCAGATTCTATGTAAAAGGGCGGTGGGTGAATAGACCATCGAAGAGCAAAACACGATCCGCAATAAGAGGCAGCCTTTTACCGTCACCATGTCAACACCGGTATACCGAGATGTATGTGAATAAATCCATGGCAGAGGTGCTATCTACGCATGTCTATAACAACAGGTAACCAAACTGCCTTGCCGACTGAATATCGCCGGCCCCGTAACGCCTCCCAATGCTTTTTGTGTACACTTGTAGCCTCTTCCCCAGTACAAATACAGCTTTATATCTTTTTGTTGTTTTGGCTGGTAAGGTGATCTTACAGATCTCTCGGAGAGGCCGTCAGGTATCCGGCCCGAGGCTCACTGGTCGTTCCCCAGGTACTTGAAGCGCTTCCAGGTATCCAGCACTTCCGTTTCTCCCCCCTGCAATAGTCGTCTGGGTACCACAGGACCAAAGCCAAACACTCTGGGTATCAAGACAAGAGGAACCCTCCTCACTCTCCCTGTCGCTTTTCCCCTTTTCCGAGACAAGTCTCCTTCGTTTCTTCCCGCAAAGTTCGATTGGCGGCTCAACCCGACAAGCCGTTCTCGAAATCGTTGGGTTTCGAAGAGAACTAGATGAAAGTCGTTTAACCGTCGTTCAAATCGGCCTGCTTCTGGAGAATACGAGAGTGGCGATCGACCTCCTCGACAATGCTCTTGATGCCCAGGTTCTCAACGTCGAGGTTCATTTCCTTGCCGTCCTCTGTTTAAAATACGTTGTTAGACTACGGCTTTATTTATTAGAGGTAACAACCTAAATGCCTTCCAGTCGCGGAATGATGAAGATTGCGAGACCACTGCAACGGCGGTCCAATGGGTGGGTGGGTGTATGTGACAGAGAAACAAGAGACAAGAAGAGACATGGAAAACGTACTGAACTTGACATAGAGCAGAGGAGTCTCGGTGGAATTCCGCGGCAGAAGCTGGGTGGTGATGTTCATGCCATTGGAGCGGGCGTTGGGAGGGAGGAAGGAGAGGAAGAGCCGAGCGGCCTTGGCCTTGGCCGAGAAAGGGTTGAAGCGCGTTGATACGTCGGTGATGAAGCGGGTGAGCATGTTGGGCGAGTCGCTGTCGGTGGTGGTGAGGTGGTGTTGGGCTTGGGTTCGGAAAGGGTAGGAAGAAGCACGAGGCCCTGACTGCGACTTTGCGACGGACTTGCACCGGACGGGGACGGAGACGCGGGAGACGGGAGACGGAACGGGGTCTGTGGAGGATCGGACGGGGGAGCTTGTGTCGCGATTTGGACTTCGGTTCGGTCTTCGTGCCTGGCGCCGGCCGGCAGTGTGGGGGATGCGATCAAAAATTACTGGAGGTACGTACCAATTGCGCCGGGGGCCGGGAGGGGTGTTCTGGAAAACGGAAAAGGCGGGACGGTGCGCGCAACGTGTGAGCGACAGGCTGTGATTGGTTGATAGTTGGGATTAAACGGCGGCGTGAAGCTTTATTTCATCTTCACATCCAGTTTACCTATGGATACTATACATATTAGAATCAGAATTAAAGAAAAACAAATTTCCATCTTCTTGTATCGTGTGTATATATCACTCGTGTATGAGTCTTTTTTATTCTTTCCTTGAGCGCAACAGCAGTGTACTTCAACCCCAAAGTCCCCGTTTAGATCAGCTAATTCTCCGTTTCCGCATTCCGCATGTGATCCGTTTCAAAGAACTTCCGAATGACGTTGCAACAGCCCCCGAGAGCTCCAATTGAACAATCGCTACAGTGCTCTCCTTTCAGGCCAAGTTTCCACTTACATCCACCATTTTCAACGCCTACCTAGTCAACACCCTACAGATACAACACCGACGCAATACGATAATCACTAATGTCATCATTCGAAACGCTCCAAGAGCGGCTCACGGCCCTCCAGGAGACGACCGGCCAGCTAAAGGAGCTCATCGAGCGTCTCGCCACACTCAAATTCGAGCCCGGTTCCGTTCCTCTCAGCAACAGCATCAGCAGTCTCGCCAACACTGGCGCCGATGGAAACACCAACAATGAGGCCGCCGATTTGAGTGCCGAAATCAGCCAGGTCTTGCGCGAGGAGGAGGAGGATCTGGAGTTGCTGCAGGAGGAGATCATCGACTTGCGCTCCGGCCGCCCAGGGAGTGAGGCAGAACACAAGAAGACGAGGTTAAAGGAGGGCGCGCAGCGCTTGGCTGTTGAGCTGAAGAGGTAAGTTTTCTCTTTTTCCAAGATACCAACCTCGCTCTCTTTTTCGAAGAGATGAACGAAAGACCACTAACATAAATACCCCCTCTCAAAAGCTGCCGAACCTCGTTCCGCAAAGCCCAACTCGCCGCGCGCCGCAACCTCGAAACCGCCCAGCGCCTCGAGCGCCAACTCCTCCTAGCCTCCTACGTCGCCGTCGCCGCCAACCTCGCCGCCGCATCATCATACCGCGGCGAATCCGGCACCTCAACACCCGTGTCGTCCGCTGCCGCCGCCGGCGGTGCTCCTCAACCAACCTCAACCACCCCACCCCCTCTTCCAACCTCTTCCGCCGCCGCCGCTTCTTCCGATCCATCCCAACCTCCTCTCGACCCCCGCCAAGCCCTCTTCGGCAACCGCCGCCGCAAGCAGCACCAAACCACTTTACCCCCTTCCCACGACTCCGAAGTCGTCTCCGCCTCCTCCACCGTCACCGACGCCCTGCGGCGCACGCACGCCCTGATCGCCTCGGAAGTAGCCAAGTCGGCCTTCGCATCCCAAACCCTCGCGGAAAGCACCGCTGCTTTAAAGGAACTGCAGCGCAGCTACGAGGGGATCGATTCCCTCTTGTCACGCTCGCGGGACTTGGTGAGCACGCTGCTGCAGAGCCAGAAGAGCGATACGTGGTATTTGCGGACGAGCCTGTACATGCTGCTGTGCACGCTGGGGTGGTTGGTGTTTAGACGGTGGTTGTATGGACCGCTTTGGTGGGTTTTGTGGTTGCCGTTGAAAATGGTTTGGAAGGGCGGGAGGGTTGCTTATGATGTTTCGACGACGCACCATGGTCATGGTGGGGTGGAGACTGGAGCAGGAGGGGGGGCGAGGATGGAGGTTTTGGTTGGGGATGAGAATGGGAAGGGAGGAAGGAGTGTGGTGGGGATGGCGGAGGAGGGGGCTGTTCCTACGGTTCAGGTTGAAGTTGGCGGCGGTGGTGGCGGTGGGAAAGCGAAGAAGAGGGATAATGATAATGATGTGGACCCGGAATCGATGGTGGAAAAGGTTGGGAGGATCATTGAGGAGAACTTGCCGCCTTTGGAGGATGAGAAGGATGATGCCCAGAAGGTCGTGGTCGAAGATCCAGAGCTGGAGCAAGGCTGGATTGGTCAGGAGAGAATCTTTACTGGGGAGCAGGGAGAGAAGGGAGAAGAGGAGGAGGAGGAAGTGGTACAAAGGAATCCCAAGAAGCGGATGTGGGAAGAACCCGTGGTGAACAACCCGATTAGGGATGAGCTTTGAGGCTTGATAGTTTGCAGGAGTTTAGCAGATGAAGTCTCGGTCAGAAGCCGCTTATCACTTAAAGAGCTTGAAGCTGAAGATGATGCCCATTTGCTTTCATTAGTGTATGTTTGGGATTGGTACATGACTAAACGTCGGGCAAGTCGACATTGTGAATCCACCAACACGATCTATATACCCTCTGTGCCTCTTAAATCGTCTAGTGTCATCGTGATTCGATGCGTGATGATTAACACCTAGCCAGGTGGATTAAACACCATTTCCCGTTCCGTAACCGTTAGAGGCTTAATTACACTCTCTTCCCCTGAGCTAACAAATCCGATACCTTGGCTGGGAGTACCAGTTGACTCCTATCATTGCGCCGATGAAAGTCCACAAGTGCAATCGCCGTCTTTTCCGGCAGGTCCTCGTGAATGAAGTGTCCTGCTTCGGGAAATACTTGCAAAGCGTATTTACCTGAACACAAAATTCCGAGTTAGTCAGTCATAACGAACTCAAAGAAAGCAGCCCCGTGTTGAATACTCCCAGAAACAGACAGAACAGAACATACCTTGCATCTGCCCAATAGTCAACTCAGTATCCAACCGATCCGTTCCCGCAAGCAACAACATCTTGCCCCCCCTCGCCTCCAAAAACTTCTTGCTCAGCCCCACAAACCAATCCTCCCAGAACGGCTGCGTAGCCGCCAAGTCCGTCTTCCACCGCCACGGCTTCGCCGTCCCCTCCGTCCCCGCCACGCCCCTCGGCTGATGCAATTGCTGCCTTTGCAGCTCCTCCACGGGCGCCAACAAGCCCGGTACGCTCGTCCTGGCTGACGTTGAATTCCGGATTGTTCGCGATCGCACGTGCCACTCGATGCCGTCCTTCAAAGTGGCGAACCCTTGGGGACGCGTGGAGAGGTAGGTTTGCATACTTTGTAAAGCGTCCATGGCGGAGCCTTCGACTACGTCTAGCACGGCGTAGCCGAGAAGGGAGGGGCCGAGACGGTAGGATTTGGCGAGCTCGGTGACGACGGCGCCGCCGAGAGAGTGGCCTACGAGAATGATGGGTGGCAGGTCGGGCCAGTGCATGGCGGCGCGGGTGAGTTGGATGACAGTGAAGAGGTCGGTGGCGAGGGTGGAGAGGCTCAGGTCTAGTGGTGGTGGTGCTTGTTCTGTGGTTTCTCCTCCTTCTCCTGGAGCTGAGGAAGGGGTGGTGATGGTTGTTGAGCCATGGCCGCGCGCGTCGAGGGAGAGGATGCCGGCGTTGGGTAGACGTTTGCGGATCTCGGAGCTGAGGACGGCGAAGGAGAGGCCGGAGGAACCGGCACCGTGGTGGGTGACGAAGAGGGGACCTTTGCCGACTGGGGAGGTGAGGTAGGCGTGGTGGGTTATTATTACTGGCTTGTTGCTGCTGTTGCTGCTGCCACTGCCACCGTCGGATCCAGCTTCCTCCTTGAGGAAGAGTTCTCGTTCAAAGTAAGTTGTCCAGGGGATAGGGTCCATGGACCGACTGGCGAATCTGATAGTGATGTTAGCGTTAGATACCTATTGATTGATGAATATGAGACCCGATTTACCCCTGTGGTCGCGCAAATAGAGCCCTCCCCGGAGAAGGGATCACAGTTCCTGTCGATGAAACAGAGGACGCTGATGAGGAGTCGTCGTCGAAGGGAAATCCGCCTGGACTGGGCCCCGCCATTTCTTTGTCTTCGTCCGCCTCGTTGAACTCCGGCATCGTCGTTGCGGTCGGTATCTCTGCTGGTGGCTGCCCCAACGCCTGACTGCCGAGCCTCGCTTTTGCCCACTTCTTTTGAAGCTCACTCATGGCGTGAGCTGTAGAGGCTTCCGTCATAGGATGTTTGGATAGATTGCCTTCATCCACACCCTGCTTTGCCTTTTGAAGATACGGTAGTGTGCTGCTGATGACTTCGAAGCCAAATGTCTGTGCTTGATCTGTCGTCTCCTCTGTTAGGTTGCTGAGGAGTGTCGTTCAAATTGTCGACAGTCGATATCGAAAGTCGTAAGCAACCAGGATGATTTGTCGTCGAATGTTCGCCGTAAAGATTCCTTAAATGGGAAAGTCACCTGTTGATGAGTGTAAAAGACAAGATGTGCCTAACACTCGCGCAAGGAGAAAAACAATGTGTATCTTGACGAATTATGATTTGACCACAAGTTGAAGGTGGCCTTTTTGATGTTGGGGGTTTGGGCCCGGTGATGTTGCTGGAGCGTGGAGCCCAGATGGAGGGTGAGGTCATTAGCGGTTGTTGAGATAATGTTTGCACTGTCTTGTACTTGTGGGACATGGCGATGGGGCTTGAAGTTTCACCGCTCGAATGGTAAGTGCAGGTACACAGTGTGTCGTAGACCGTGCACACTGCTCGCAACACCCCTGATTGCACCTGACCCATCACTACTACACTTGAACACTGAGATGGATGGCCACTATATTCATATTTATCAAGACACATGTATAGAATAGGCGCATGGGTGAAATAAGTTTACAACACGTTATCATGCGGCATCGAAAGTTGTTACAAATCAAAGGGTTGCACGCTGTCTTCACGGTTAGTAAGCGCCCGCTATAAGAGCCACAACGGTTGGTCTCTTAGTTTACACCAACATCGGTTACTTTGTCCATTTCACCCCTTTTTACACCTTGTTGGCAAGAGCTTTGAGTTAGCTGCCGCCCTTGAAAAAGTGACGTGCGTGAATGATATGTTTTTTGCACGGTCTGCCTCTGCTCCTTTGTTGCTAAACTGTGCCGTGCCTTTTGGTCCTTCCCTATGCCCAACCCGTTCGCACGTCCCTGTCCGATGCTTCCTTCACCCATTTACAACTTTGAGTCCGGATTGTCAAGATACCACGTCGTATCTCCCTTCTCCTTTGTTGAGAACCCATTCCCAAGGTAGTAGAACCGGTTTCTCTTCGGCCCGTCGTAGACATAATCCCAGTCCTCGCCCCGGAAGTTCTCCAGCATGTGGAAGAAGTGGATGCGGCTTCCCGGATGCAGCGCCGTGACCGGTCCGCTCTCCTGCCCATTTTTGAACCATGACCGGCCCTCTGCGCCCCACGTTGTACGAGGCATGAAAGCCGCGATATGCTCGAAGTAGTCGTCGATCGCATCCTGGGAAGGACAGATGGCCTTGATGCACTCCGTCTGGCATTTCTTGATGATTCGGGTGATGTACTTTGCGATGTGCTCGGTTAGGGTGAAGACACTGCCGTGGCCGATGGGGGCGTTAGGTCCTAGGAAGACTGGCACATTACAAGTCAGCATAATCTGTTTGATGCTAAAGAGGTGGACGAGCCTGGCTTACCAAAGTAGTTGGGCATGTCAGCAATGGCGCAAGACATATAAGACTTGGGAACCTCGTCTCTGAACTTCTTCTGCAGGTTTCCGTTGCGTCCGACGATGGGAAACCGCGGGCAGAAAGATGTGTTGAAGCCGGTGGCGCAAATGATTGCGTCGACCTTGATCACTTCGCCAGATTCCAGTTGAATACCCTCGGGAACAAAGCGTCTGATCCCGCCTCTTCGAACCTCGACATTCTCCTTGGTGAGTGCCTTCAGGTAGTCTTGACCAGGGGTTAATCGCCTCGTCCCTAGTGGAAAGTCGGGAATCATTGCTTCGCAAAGCTCCTTGTTCCCTCCAAGCATCATGGTCATGTATTGCTTTGTCATTTGCTGAGCAATGGCTTGTACCGGGCTTCCTGTCACAACCTAACGGTAATTGTTTTAGCAACAGCCCCACGGTTACTGAAAAGCCGGGAGTGTCTTACCATTGGGAAAGCGTTGTTGACTTCCTTCTCAACAGCCTTTACAAAACGGCGATAGAACTCGGGGTCGGACTTGAACCTCTCTATCGTCTCCTGGGAGAAGTTCTCTTGGTCATCGATCCCGATCTCGCCGAGTATCTGCAAGAGTTCCTTGGACTGGCCTATCATCTTCCAAGCCATTATCCGTGGCGGAGTGACCCAAGTGGGCGTTCTGAAGAGATGGTACAACTTCTCTGCCTCTGATAAAACGTTAGCCTAGCTTGTTCGGCAAAGTAACAGAGGAAATGCTTACTCTTCTGCAGTTCCGGCACAACCTGGATTCCCGTCGAACCATTGCCGATGACAGCCACTACTTTCCCTGCAGCGTCAAAGTCCTCTGGCCAGTTGGCGGTATGTACTAGGTCTCCATCGAAAGCCATAAGGTCCTCAACATCGGGCCATTTCCAGTTGCTGTAGAGCAGAACCGTCAGCTATTTGACACCGTAATACATGTCATGGGTATTTGGGAGTGTCACTCACTTCAAGATACCTGTTCCATCCAACAGAAAGTCGGCATAGTCATTGATCGACTCGCCTGTCGTCAAATCCTGTACCATCAGGTCCCAGCGTGCTTTCTCTTCGTCCCATTGCGCAAATTCCACACGGTGCGAGGTCTTGATCGAGTCCCGCATATGCTCCTCGTCGCATACTTGGCGAAGATAACCACCAATCTCGTCAGCTGAGGCATGGAAGTTGGTCCAGTCATGCTTTGGCTTCCACGAGAACTGGTAGTTGTGACTTGGGATATCACATCGGCAGCCAGGATATCGGTTCTCGAACCAGGTCCCGCCCACATCTTGGTTCTTTTCGTAGATGACGAAGTCGTAGTCCGTAAGATTTAAGCGGAGGGTACGGATCATGTTCAGCCCGCTTGCACCGGCACCGATGCCGACGATCCGGAGATGCTTGATCGTGCCAAGAGGCTCTTCTCGAACCGTATAACTCTCTTCGAGGGAGCCATTCTGCGAAAGGGCTGGGGTTGGCAGATCGTGGGTGCGGATGGGCAATTCAGGCCCAGATGTGTTGATGACCATCTTGAAGAGTGAAGAAGTGGATGTGCCTGATGTGGTCCTGCAATATCAGGAGATCTCGAATAATAAGAGACAAGGAGATAAGTAGCACATAAATGAGGCCGAGAGCAAGCCGGGTATTTGTAGGAAGGAGTGAAGACGTCCACCCTCGGAGAATTAGGTGAATCAAGGCGTCGGTAAATATGCTTGATCTAGCATGGATCGGATTGCAACCTTTAGCAAACAATAGTGGCGACTTTAAAGGGAGCCACGAGTGCCGATACGAAACCTCGAGGTTGGGTGTTGAAGGAGGCTGCGACCCGGTTTCGAAACCCCAAAGCGCTTTTAATGTCCACTGACAAGCCGCGAGAAGTTTGGATGGCAACAATGGAGGCGCCTGCTGGGAAGCTGATGAAGCCCGTCCTGGCTTTCATTGTCCCTTGTCTTTCTGATATTGAATCAGTAGGTGGGTGCCAACTCTCGGTCCTGTTTGTCCTGATACGCGGGCAGTTGGCTGGTTTACGGAGCTCCACGGGCGGGCAACATGGTTCGGCCGTCAAGCCGCAAAAGCCATCCCGTCCGTGGCATCCCTCCTCATTGAGCCAGCATCCCAAGCCGGGTGCCATGGATCAAGCAACGCACATATGCCATCGGAACCATTGCACACAGAAGGGCCACACAGTGAAGTTGGATGGGTAGAGAACGGCAAACGGAGCTCGAGAGTTGACCGAGGCCTCGGCAGTCCAATGGAAGAGCGGTTTACAAAGTGTGAAAAGCAATGTATCATGTAGGTCCATGTCCAGGCCTTTGATCCTTCTAGCCAAGTGCTGATGGCGGCGGAGGTTATGGAGAGCGAGGACTGGAGTGTGCTCATATGTCGTATTTGGTCCAACCACAGCGGCGGGTTCTCGTCGATTCAACAACGTCGCCGGGGCGCGCCGAATGGGGATCGTCGCCTGGTAAAATCCCCGAAACTCGAACCTGTTGACAGTGACAGCAGCATCTCACCATCTCGATTGTCGCAAGCGATGTTTTTCCGTGCAGGCGAACGATGTCAGGAGAGCACCCGAGGGGTTGCATGAGAGATGATGAATGGTCAATGGTCAGTGGTCAGTCCTCGAGGTTGAACGCCAACGGCGAACCCATCATGTCGGACAGGGCACATACCACTCCACTTTCCCCGTAAAGTGCCTGTTAGGGTCCCCTGAAACATGGTGGGGCAACCGATCCCAGCTGTCCACGGCCCGATCTACAGTTCCCATACCCAACCCTTGATCACAACCCTAAAAGACGACGACAAGATAAACATGGATTGTTTAGCATCGGTAACCTCAACCGGCTCCCTCACATTAAGACTAACGTTCTAGACTTACAGCGAGAAAACCTCGGTCTCAATAGCGGCCTAGTTCCATTTTACTTTTACGAGGGAAGAAGCAAAGCGCAAAAAAAGCGGGGGTTTAAGAGGCACGGTATACGGTCAACCCAACGCAAGTGGAAACATGGCGCCTGGATTTTCTTTCGGTTTTGCGGGAGACGACATCGAGGACGACGGGCAACCAACCTCTCAGGTCAACAGCGTAGCCCCTCCGACACCGTCAGCGGCGACAAGTGCCAGTGCTTTTCCCGTCCAGGGAAAGCCTCTGCTGCCACCAACCCACCATGATATCGATCACATGCTATCGAGGTTGCCCTCCAAGATCGCCTACAGCCTACTAGATGTCGAGCTAGAAGAGGGCAAGACCATTCAGATCCCGCGTCGAGAGTTGTGGGATGTTCGGGTGCAGCTCATGGCTGAGGATGATGGCTCAAATATCTCCGAGACGGAGCCCGGCCTGGGGGAGCACGATGTCAAGACGGGTATCTACGAGGGTGGCTTCAAGAGCTGGGAAAGCAGCGTCGACTTGGTCAAGGTGCTCGCCTCCGAAAACGCTCCCACGATACTCAATCGCGATCCTTGTGTGCTGATGGAGGTACGCGTCCCTTCTTTCTTGGCTATTTTCTTGATGCTTTGTTGTTGCTGACAGATTGCTTTTCAGCTGGGCTGCGGCACTGCCCTGCCGTCCCTCGCGCTCTTTCAGTGGGCAATGAACGAGAGAAAGTCTGGAGAGAAGCAGCCGCTTACGCTTGTACTGGCTGATTATAACCCATCAGTTCTCTATCTCGTCACTCTGCCCAACTTTCTCCTCGCTTGGGCGCTCTTTCAGCGAGAAAGCACTCCTGTCCTTGCGGATGCCTTTTCGCTGGAGGACGAAGTCGAACTGCTCCCCGAAGTGGTCGAAGCCTTCAAGGAGTTCCTTACCTCCAACCAAATCACGCTTTCTTTCCTATCGGGTGGATGGTCCCCAGAGTTTATCGACCTTCTTTACAGCTCTGGTATTCCCTCAAACCCCACAGGAAGTGTCCAGACACTGGTCATCGGCGCAGAGACCATTTACTCGCCATTTGCCCTCGAGAGCTTTGCGGCCACGCTGCTTTTGATCCTGGAGCGAGAGCGCAAGGAGCGTCCAAGTGGCCATGCTTCCTCTATTGTGGGCGCAAAGAAGATGTACTTTGGCGTCGGAGGATCGTTGGACGACTTTGTCGACCGGATGAGAGGACTTGGTGCTTTGGTCGAGCCTTTGCGCGAGGAGGCTGAGGGTGTCCGGCGTGGAGTTGTGCGGTGTTTCCTCTCCTGAGGGTTGGTTTAGGATAAAGCCATCTGGTTAAAGATTCCCGTCACACATCGTCCCCGCAGAGACAAAAACCCATCGACGCGTTGTTTTGATTGGGCTTCAACAGTTATGCATGTCCCAACGATCAACTGACTCCTTCCTGCAGCACGACGCTGGGTTTCATCCAAGTTCCACGAGTTCGGATGTACGGTCTCCTAGCTTTGTTTCGGACCACCTACGTACCTGTCAAACATGCGGCGACATGGACAACCCCGTCTGTAGGCAGTGCGACGCTGTTTACTTTGACTCTGCCTCGATTCCTGAAACAAATTTATGCCCACGAGACTTGGCCTGGCTGTTTACGACATCTAGGCGGACAAGATGGAAGTAAGGCAAATGGCAACCAGATGTGCCAGACTGCTGCATGAGTGGGTGTAACGTCGGTAATCATTGCATAAACGACGTCCAATGGTCTGTCATTATCTTATTCGACATTGCTGCACCCAGATGATCGGAGCTTATGAGGCTGACTGTGGTCAAGTTCCGTTATCCGCTTCGACGACACAGTTGGTCCTGATATCACAATGGAATCGTTTCCCACCAAGTTCCCACCTTCCCTACAGCCCGTTTACACCCGTTGACAGCAGTGATCTATGACCGAAAAAATAAAGTCGCCACGATGGCATACAAAAAGTGTAATACCATTTGCTGGTCAGGCTCGTCATGCTCGCAGTCCAGTCTGTCCATTCCCCTTCATGGATATCGCCTCCTGAAGCCTTTGGACCCGAAAATCTGCGAATGTTATGCGGCGGATGCATCATTTACAAGATGTGGCAGTGTTGCCAAGACTATTTAATATTCGGCCCAACGATTGGAACAATTTGATTCTCTCATTATCAGTGCAGACGCCCATCGAGCTCTGACCAAACACCAATCTTGGTGGAACCAGAGAGCTGAACACCCGGGCTGCCGGATATATGAGTGGTCAATTCACAAGACAAGCAAGCTCAAGTGGCACAAGAAGCCATCCATTGTTCGCCCAATCATGGGCTTCGACTTTCTGATGGCGGTTGTCTGCGACCTTTTGCACAGTTTCTTCCTTAGCCAGACAGCACGGTATGACTTTGCGCGCCTCGCCCCTTGAAGTTGAGGATCACCTGAGATAGGATCCCGATGAAGTGGTAAGTGTTGCTGATTGCCCAGATCTTTGCGTAATAACGTTTGCATCAAGCGAGTGTCGATCCTGGTTGTTGGTTGTGATGTGACTTGTGTGAACCGAGAGACACACACGTTTCGCCTAAATACAGTCCGATACTGGTTTTTTTGTTAGCTCGAGACCTCTGGTTAACTTGTCCAGGCGTCTCAACAACAAGTTGATGTGTTTTCTTCGATAATAGGGGTTTAAAATTAGCATGAATATGTCAAATCAGATACTGATAATCTGTTTTTGACTATGATTTATGCATTTTAAAAGTACCATTGCGGCGTCCAGGATGGGTTGGCATGTGTCTTACACGGGGTACAGAGCTAACAAACAAACCAGCATTGGACTGTATTTCACCAGCTTTTACTGGTCAGTGCGCTCATGAGGGGGACGGGATCTCACCTGCAGTGAGGGACCAAGGAAGAGGGCTGCTGAATATAACAATGTCGATATCTTCTAATACTCCATTCCTTCCAGTCCGTTCCGCCCATGGCTATATATACATATCCTCAGAGACTGGATGACTGGTAAGGTAAAAAGGGGTGGAAGGGTAGACGTCGGCCCAAGCAGACTGCAGGCCAAGCATTGTCCGAAATGCTGCAGAGTCAGAACTCAGAACCGTGCATCTCCAGTTCTTGGCGGCAGTTCTTGGTACGGGAAATGCAATCCAGCCAATGGAAACCCCTGGTTTCGCGAAATGAGAACCCCACACATGCACGTTGGCACAACGCAGAAACAGCGATGCTGCATGATCGCACCCAGCATTGATGGTTGACGGAACTGACGGGACGACGAAGGCAAACATGATGCGGATGCCACGGCTTCATTGTTCGATCTCGAAGAATCATACACAATCCAAAACCTCACGAAACATTCTTACCATGTCGTTGCTGGTTTTGCGACCAAAAGAAATACACGAGACCGGTCGCTGTTTTCATGTCAGCACAAGGTGGCAGTGGTGTTGAATGGTGTTGCACTTTTGCGATCCAACAAGCATACAACCGTTGGCGGGGCAAAGGGACCCTCAACATCACGAGGAGCCTTGGAGCATCGTGAACAAAGTGCGCCACGCCGAGGTTTGAACTGTAACATGTCTCTGCCTTTTGACCTCATCGCATTCCTGACTTGGGAGGAGGAGGAGGCGTGATGATGTGCCTGGCGGGAGATCTACGGGTTGATGGGATTTACAGTATGGGATCTTTGTGCTCCCAGGACACTGCGTCATTGCTTGCATCCACATGCAACTGAATGATATCTCGACAAGCGCGACTCATACGGCAACAACTCTTCAACAGCCATCTCCGAGCAAATGTTGATCAGAAGACGCGGAGATGGAGACGAAACTAAGAGCCATTTCACCGGATTGGGCAAGCGAGGCCCTGCAATGAATTCAGCAGTTCATGGAAAGCGACCCCAGGGAGTTGGCGAGTTGCAGAAGTGAGAACTGAGAAGGGGTGCCTGGAGCGTCCCATCGAGACCCCTGCTAAGACCATTTGATTTTTGCCTGAATGCTTCTGATTGGTGCGCGCGGCGCGCATTTGTCAAGAGTTGCTTCAGCGGCTTCCCCAGCTTCACGACGTTTTGGGATTTGGCGAGCGACTGGAGGCGGTTGCTTCGAGGGTGCCTGCCACTTTGGACTGGATTGTGCCATTCTTTTTAATTGACCTGCCTTCCCCCCTGCCCGTTGCTGGACTTGTCACTTCCAGTGTTCTGCCTCGTTCCCTTCTTTCCAGACTTTTCGAAGCGTCAACCTACACCGTCCCTCTCGTCTCCTGACCTGACCCTTTCAAACCAGTACAATCGCTACTTATATCGTCCACCTAATTTAATTCCTCTCCTTTCCACACTCACTACCGCTTCATCCATAATCGAAAGCTCTTCACCACACTCACAACACTCAGAGTATTCTAGTAATCTCCATCGGGTACGTACGCGAACATCCCCATACTCAACCCCCAGACTAGTGGCCCGGTCGCCGATCCACACAATCCACCGTCCACCGCTCCACCGATTTCCGCGCGTCCACGGCTGCTCCCAGGATGTCTGTGGTCCCCAGGTGAAGGGCGAAAGGCGGAGGAGACCCGGAACGAGATGTGATCCGCTTGGGAGGCTGGGGGCCGCTGTCACAAGTTTATATCATGAGCACCCCGACTGACCGCGTCTTTTTCTTCCACTTCAGTTGCTCGTCATTTCTCTCCCGTCAACAGTCTCATACTACTCGATTCGGCCGTAATCCCTCGTCAACATTGTCAAAATGAAGTTCTCTCTCGCTGCCGTTAGCGCCTTCGTGGCTTATGCTCTCGCTAAGCCCGCCCTCACCAACACTGATTTCAACATCCAGGAGGGCGTCGATTATACCCTTGAGTGGAAGAATGCCACTGGTCCCGTCACCCTCACCTTGATGACTGGCCCTGATGCGGACCATATGACTCCCTTCAAGACTATTGCTTGTAAGTTTTGAACCTCATAACATCTCTCGAAGGGGGCGCGATGTGCTGACAAAGTAAAAGCCGGTGTTACTGGTGACTCGTACACCTGGACTCCTGAGGATGTTCCTTCCGGCACTTATGCCTTCAAGATTGCCGATGGTGACTCTAAGGCGGACGAAAACTACAGTGTCCGCTTTCCCTACGTTGGCAGTGCCGAGGCCACCAGCAGCGCTGCTAGCACCCTGAGCACCGTCACCAAGACCAGCACCTCTACGGTCTCTACCATGGTCTCCTCCACTGTTGAGTCGAGCACCATTGAGTCCAGCTCCGCTGCCTCCAGCACTGATGCTAGCAGCACTGCCACCTCTGCCGGTAAGTTACATGTCGTGATACGATCATCCTCACTATATAACTTATAACATATACTCATGCAAACAATCATTATTAGCTTCTTCCGCTGCTGCCACCACCACCAGCACCCGTGCCGCTACTTCTACCGGTTCTGCCCCTACCAGCATGCCCCCCAACACCAACAATGCTGAGCGTTTCGCTTCTCCTCTAGCGCTCATCCTCGGAACCGTCGCCGCCCTCGTCTTCTTTAACTAAGAAGCTTACGATTATGTAATCGAAGAAAGCCACAACACTTTGCGATGTGGTTCTCGTACATAATTTCTTCTTTCTTGACGGAGCAACATGTTCATAATTGAGCTTCGACGCCTCAGCACGCTCCAAACGACTGAATAGTCTCCGAAGTCCGCTTTTGAATTTGGGGATAATCCTGTTCTTGGAGTTGGCTTGGTGTTTTACTGTGGGAAAATTTGGGCTCTTTGTGATGGCTTAATGAAAGGATGGATACGAACGGGAGGAGAGCTATTGCGGCAAAAGTGTGGCTATGGACTATAATACCCCCGATGATGGATAATGAAGCTGCTTAATGTGCATAATTTCTACTATCAGGCTTATCACTGATGAGTCTCACTCTTGTGGATGAATTTCCATCGATGGGCTCTGGGTAACTATCCCAGCGTGTGAGCAATTTGAACCACAAGTTTCTCCAAACACAGCCGTTGATCTCCCTTTGGTGTTATTGTTGGTTTTGTGGCCTCACCATGTGCCCAGTTACATTCACATTCCCCAGCTGATCAACTTACGTACATGTTTCATCCACAAACAACCCACATACCCCAGATTTCTCCAGGTTTCCCAGATTCGTTTTCTTTGATCGTTTACCCAAAAATGCAGGGAGACGATGGAGGGACCTGTCCCCACACGACCAGTGCCGGCATGAAAGACGTCACAGAGACGGGGTTTGTTTGGATGTTTGACATTTTAGCTTGGTGGTACCAAGCACCAGGACAATGGGTTAGGATCTGGGGTCGCAAATGGCAGTCAGGCAACACAGGGCAAACATGGATGGATGGACATGGTACCAAAACTCTCAACGGCCAGACGGATAGCTGCATGCGTACGTACCGCAGACGGTAGTGCCAAGTACCCGTGTTGCCGTGATCCGTGATCTGTAATCTGTTCAATCTCGGCCCTACCGATTCATGGAAAGGGCAGAGAAGTCAGAGAGGGCAGAGAAAGGGGTAGGTAGGTGAGTTACTTAGCAAACATTGGTTGCCTCATTCCTCTGTTGCTACGATTTTGCGGTGCCGTCGGTGTCATGCAGCAAGCTCCGAGTCCTGTGATTTTTTAAGTCCTGCGGGTTGCCCTGTTATGGTCCACGGCATGTGGCTTTGGGCCCGTGGTCTTTTGACCGTTGAGGTGATCTTCCTTCTGCCGAGGTTGGAGTTCGGGATGATGAGTCTAGAATCCGGATACAATCCAGGTTATGATGAACACGGTACGAACGGTACACTCCGACGGTGATGATCTTTTTTTGCGTTTTCCATGGAAGGGAGGAAGGGAGGAGGAAGCCGAAGGAAAGGGGGGAGGTGACCGGATTTTTTTTTCGGCAGGGCAGCGAGCGGTTGAAACAACCGTCAAAGGCTTAGGGCGAACAAGAGAGGGGGCATCAACGGGATATTCAATTTCAGCCTTGTGGGGATGACACGGGATTGGGACGGCTGCTGCCTTGGGGATGGGTTCGATCGGGTAAGTTTTGAGGGTGATGATGATGAGGCGGGTGATAAAGGTTCGGCGGAATGATGAGGCACTTGGTACGCGTAGGTTGAGCGCGGAATATGAACTTTGGTAAGAGGTGTCGAGACGCCGTTAATATCAGATCATATCAAGTCAATTTAACCTCTTCCTATTTCAATTCTCCATATCTGGTAATACCCAAATGCTTTCGTCGCTCCGATGCCAACTCTTTTTTCGCTTCTGTGTTTTGATACCAAACATTCTGTCTAAGACAAAGACAAAGAACCGTCGATGGAAACAACATATGAACGCCGCTGGTAATGCTCCCTAAAGGTATGTTTGCGTGGTTGAGGATATGATATGCAGAAAATCGTGTAATATGCAATATGTAAGATCCCTAAAGTGGTGGTTTCGGTTTCAGAATACAATGCGCTCTCCATCCTCGACGATGCCGCCAGTAAAAAGATATTTGTTTAACCCCTTCTATGTCGCTTTGCGCAAAGAATTCTTATGGTGTCCTGTATTCCCTAAACTTCCTCCATTCTAGAGGCGTGGCTTCGGCGCCGCCATGTCCGCCGGTTCCTCAGAAACAAGTACCACGACCACACAGATATCGTCCTCCTTGCCGCCGTGCCACGCGTCCTGGGGGTAGTACTTCTTGACCTCCTTGGCGAACGGGCCGTCCAACTTCGCATTCATGCTCGCCGACTTGGCAGCACTGACAATATGCGTGGCAATGAAGCTCTGCAGCGTGAAAATGGGCTTGTCGTCGCTGTCGAGCTTGGTGAAGGGAGTCAGGTCCTCGGCGACCTGGACCCCAGCGTCGGTGCCCTTCCATGCGCCGAGCTTCTGCATTGTGCTGCTCACCAGACGGAGAATGTCCTGGTTGAACAGATTGTCCCAAAGACCATCACTTCCAAAGATGACAACGTCTCCATGCTTCAGCTTGTGGCGGGTCACATCGGCGTCGCGGGGCTGATCGATAAGCAGTCCCCCGCCAAAGGTCGCAGCGCGGAGCAACATGCTAGGCGGGACCACGCTGAGCTGAAAGGGAGTGTTGAATGCGTGTGTCTGGGGTTCGCTGGCGGTGTGCACGCCGTTGAGCCTGAGTATTACGAAGCCACTGTCGCCAAGGTTCGCAACCTCCATCGTGCCGCTCTCATCCAACAGGCCAACTACAGCCGTACTGCCACCCGCCTTGATAGTCGGGTCATGACAAACGGCCTCGTATCCCTTTTGCATCAGCGAGCGTGCCGTCAACGGCGCATTGCCACTGTTGTTCCCATCACCACCAGCAGGCGCCTGTGGCCCATTGGCCGCCGCTGCCGCAATCTTGGTCGGCTGCTTGTCGTTCTCGTATGCGGCAGCCGCCATATAGTCGCAGAAGGCATGCGAAAAGTCGGCCGGGTCGACACCGCTGTCCATCCAGCCGCCCACACCATCGGCTACGCCCAGCGCAACCTCGCCGGGCTTGTTCCCTACACGGCTAACGAAGAAGGCATCCTGGCCGGACTCTGGGCGCGCCGACTTCGCCTTCTTGCCGGGCTTGGATACGCGGTGGTAGGGGTTGAAGTGGAAGACGTGGGTGGACGGGTTGAAGGGGCGGCCCTTGCCGACGTACGAGGCGGCGATGTTGTAGACGAACTTGGTACCGGATCCGGAGGCAGGCTGCTCGGCGGCCGTCGAGTATGGAGCTTTCGTCATGAGCTGGTGGGCAATCCGTCGTCCCACTCTCGGAGGTAATGTGCTCAGATATCGCATGCCGTCGACGGCGGGTCGGTTATGGTTATTATGGCTGAGGAGGAGGTACGACGCGCTGCTGGAGGTAGGGCTGATGGTCAGGGTCGAGGACCTCGCCAGCCGCAGGCGGGCTGTATGACATGGGGCCGACAGCGTGCGGAGAGCGCTAACGGACGCCATTGCTTCAATTGCCCAGGTTGCGGAGGGGGTTGGGGGTGGTGGAAACTCTTTCAATCGGCCAGGGGGAACAGGCAATGGAGAGTCGTGATTGGTATGCCCCTGGTGGTTGTCAAGGAACGAGATGGTTGATCAATGGTAGATACGCCGTAGGCTTGGTTGCGAAGCCCCTGTGGGCCCGCTGTGTCGAGAGAGAGGTTAGAGAAAGGAGAGGTGTCTGTAAACCATGATAGTGGTCGTGCGGGCAATCAACAAACAACAATCGCCGGCAAAAAGCAAGCGGGAAGACTGACGACGGGAACGCACGTCAGAGATCCGATGTGCGAAGTGGACCTGGCCACCTGCAGATGGACATTACGGGTTGCGAATGCTGTACAAGAGGGTTGGGGTTAGCAGTGTAGGAAAATGGACATGTTAGCGCGCTAGCGCTGTTTAACGACTGCCAAGGTGAACGCGGCTAACATTCACAGCACCGAACGCTCTGACACATGTGAACAGGTACGTAATGCGACAGCCTCACAACGAACTTCAGGGATGTTGTGTAATGGTTGATACCAAGCATCAGTGGTTCTGGAAAATCAGATAATCAGCGACAATCAGGGATGGAATTTGCTGTTCACGGTTAGACGCTGTCCAGATAGCAAGGCTAGTGGGCATTCCCCACGGTCGGAAGTCGGGACGCTGAAGAATAAGTGGGCGCTGATTGGCTGTTGTATACCGAGGTGTTCCGGGAACACAAGGCGGTTGAAAGAAAGTCATGACGGCCCGGGGGGTCAGCCAAACCCGCCCGGAGACGCCCACTCACAGTAAAGGCATCTCCGTCCACTGCTACATCTCTCACTCGCTCCGCCTGTGAACCCGGTTCCGGTTGATATAAACGTAGTCTGGCATTCACCTCATCCGCCAAGCGGCTTCCCTTGCTTGCTTTTCCGCATTCTCGTCTAGTATCAGTATCGCACATCGCCATCAAAATGGCCGCTCTCCGCTCTTCGTCCGCCCGTATCTTCGCCGCTGCCTCCCGGCCGGCCTTCCGCCCCTTCGTCGCCGCCCGCGGCATGGCCAACCTCGCCGACGGTGCTACCCAGAGCCAGCAGGCCTCTTCGGAGGAGAGCCCCAAGCTCAGGACCTTCCAGATCTACCGCTGGAACCCCGACACCCCGACCGAGAAGCCGCGCTTGCAGAGCTACACCCTCGACCTCAACAAGACCGGTCCCATGGTCCTCGACGCCCTTGTCCGCATCAAGAATGAGCTCGACCCTACCCTTACCTTCCGCCGCTCGTGCCGTGAGGGTATCTGCGGTTCCTGCGCCATGAACATCAACGGCACCAACACCCTCGCCTGCTTGTGTATGTCTATGTCGCAGCATCCACAGAGATATATATCCCTCGGGACGGACGGAATGCTTACTTGCGTGAACATACAGGCCGCATTCCCACCGACACCAGCGCTGACATGAAGATCTACCCTCTTCCTCACACCTACGTCGTCAAGGATCTCGTCCCCGATCTTACCCTCTTCTACAAGCAGTACAAGTCCATCAAGCCCTACCTCCAGAGGGACACTCCCTCCCCTGATGTAAGTGGAGACGCTTTGAGAGAGCCTTAGGCTTAGGTGCGCGCGCAGACCCGATACTAACCTACGTCATCACGTATAGGGCAAGGAGTACCGTCAGTCCAAGGCCGACCGCAAGAAGCTTGATGGTCTCTACGAGTGCATTCTCTGCGCCTGCTGCTCTACCTCGTGCCCCTCCTACTGGTGGAACTCCGAGGAGTACCTCGGCCCCGCTATCCTCCTCCAGTCTTACCGCTGGCTCGCCGATTCCCGTGATGAGCGCCACGCCCAGCGCAAGGACGCCCTCAACAACTCCATGAGCTTGTACCGCTGCCACACCATTCTTAACTGCACCCGTACCTGCCCCAAGGGTCTCAACCCCGGTCTCGCCATTGCCAACATCAAGAAGGAGCTTGCCTTTTCCTCTTAAATGCGTCAACTACGACAATGCGATTTACTCTGTGCGGATTAGGAAAGAGAATAAGTCGAGGAGAGAAGAACCGCGCGGTTGTAGCGGGAAGCTTGCGCTTGACTAGCGAGAATGGCGGCGGATGGTCCGGGAAGATCCGGGCACGGTATATGTAACAAACCTGTACCCTGTCTCGTGCATGGCTGGAGTTTACTATTGTCTCAGTAACAGCAATACGAATTTGGTTTTATTGTCAAATATACCTTTTTCTATATCCTTTGGGGGGCTATCAGATAGCTAGAGCAAGCGAGATTGGAAGCACTGGCGGGAGGCCCTGTTTTGGATGAGGTGTATGTTGAATTAATCGGGCGTCAAAAATAGGGAATAAACAACTGCTTTTGCAACCAAAGCCAAAAACATCCCGTTTTGGTGCACCTTCTCTTTCGGATTCCCCCCTGGCGCTAACACTTGGAAAACATATCGGATAATAGGGATATATGAATGAGAACAGCACACACCGAATAACGGAAAATGGATCTTGATCTTCAGCAACGCGGCAACTTCCTACGACAATTACCGGCGCTTCCGGCCTCACTTCCAACTTTCGGGTGCCGTACCATCATCACTCCGCTTTGTATCCGCGATAGTGAAGATAGGCTCATACACAAGATCAACCGGCACAAAGTCCTGAGTGGTGGTGGCCTGGGCTGTTCGTCCCATCTTCTCATCAGCAACTACACATCTTTTTACACCAACAGGGACACTCAAGCAATTCAGGACCACTTACGATACTTCCACCTAACAACCCACCCACCCCCTTCCACCTTCGAACTCCTAAACGCCACCCACCCCCCCGGCCCCGCATAGCTCACAGTATTAGCCGGCTTCCCCTCGCTCGTCGGCGCGCCCTGGTTAAGCGTAAAGCTCGTCCACTCGCAGTCCACGGCATCGCCGTCACCACAGCCGATGGCCGCCGGGTCCTCAACGCTCGTCAGCTCCATCAGCCCCGTGCGGGCGTTGCCCACCAAAGCGATAGCTTTGGTCTTTGGGGTGTTAGGCGAGCCGGGGGAGCCTGGGGAAGAAATGCCGGCCCAGTTGTGCAGCTCGACGAGCCCGGTGTCTTTGTTAGGTACGGCGTAGAACTTGATGGGATTGTTGTCTTTGTCGGGGAAGACGCCGATGACGGAGCCGGAGGCGCTGAGGTAGTGGGTGTCTAGGTCGGGGCCGCCGCTGGGAGGGGGGAGGTGGGGTGTTAGCTTGAGGTGAGTGGACTGAGTTTGGGGTTGGTGGTTCATGAGAGGAAGGGAGCGAAGGTGAAGTGTGAGGTGTGAGGTGTGAGGTATAGTGTTACGTACCCGGAGATGCGAAGAGTGTAGACGGGAGAGGGAGGTGAGGGCTCTACGTATACTGGAGCCGCGAGGGTGGTGGAGGCGAGGTAGCTGAGGACGAGTGTCTGCCACTTCATTGTGATGGATTTGTTGGTAGTTGAGAGTCCTAATAGACTGAGTGGTTGAGATCAATGGGGGTAGGATCAAGGACGAGTGCTGATGAGGGCGATATCTATGAAGGATAGGTGAAGAGATGTCGATGGGGAATCTTGAGGTTATATGTAAGTGAGTACTTGAGTCTCTGGTAGGTATGGTGATGTGTTTTCTTGCTTTTCTTGATCACCAAGACATCATTTTCCCCCATCTGGAGCGGACCAGTCCCTGGACCTTATACGATTTCCCCAGGCCATCTCATTTTGGTGTCTCACAATGTCAATCTTTCCTTTTCTTTTTCCTTTTTCCTACTTTTGCGGCTCAAAACTCCGTGACTTCACTCCGTCACTCCACCATCTTGGGCACATCATCCCACTCTACTGTGACTCCAAATTGCCGACACGTATAGCTTCATTTTTTACATCTCGATCTTTTCGCTCGCCGGCGTCACTTCCGACGTGATGTGTTGCAGTCGAGCCACCTTGGCCACTTGGCGATTTTGCCCGAATAACGGCAATTTACGATTTAACAGCCTGGGCGACGTAGTTTGAATTCTACCGTTGCCATTCTCCCTCCCATTCAGATGCAAGTAACACCAAAGGGCCCTCCCGCCCCGTCAAGTCTTCCATCCCAACTCTTCAACTGGGCATAGCCCGCAATCCAGCCCTTGTAGTAGGGTATATGTATTACTTCCCCCGTCATTACTTCCGTGGCAAGCTGGTAGGTTGGCGCAGAGGGCACGGTTGTCGGCCCTCCCGCCTTCCTTTCCTTCCCCCGGCTCTCATGTACGCTGCGCGTTCGAACCCGGTAGCTGTAAGTCCACGTTGTGTTTTTGCACCTTTGTTCTTCTGGTCGCTTTTTTGCAACTAAGACTTCGGAGGCGTTATCGTACGTAGAAGATGTCTGTCTCTCTGGGAATATTCTCACGACAATCCGTCAATACACTCATTGCCCAGCTTCTTGGGCCCTATATATGGTAAGCCAAGTCCATATAACTCGATCGAACGTGACTCAGGTTCCGAGGTCTAAACCCGTTGAACTGACAGTTCTGAGTTTGCACGTGAACGTGCCGTCTCTAGTGGTGCTGAACAACTGCACCTGAGATTTACCGATGTAGAGTTCCGAGACGGAGGGTCCATCAGAGCTGTCCTTTGTCGAAAATGAAGCAGCTGCACCCAGACGTCACAACCCGTGTCCTTCCATGACTTCCCGTGGGGAGACCCGAAGGGACAAGTGGCTTCCATCGGTTCTGGAATATTGCGGTTATATTAACACTGCCGCAATGAAAATTTTGCTGCCGGTGGTTGGCCAAGAATATTGTATAGTCTTTCACGTTGTTCATCTGTGTTCCGATTTCGATGTCTTTCCATGGATTAATCTCCTTTCCCACTCCCACAGAAAAGAATTCATGAGGCTTGATTTCTACCATTTATTTTCGCTTATAGTACAATCCTCTTTTCATTCCACAACATTCTCCTCATCTACAACTGCGCCACTTGTCGATCGAGGAGAAGAGCCGCTACGTTGCAGTGCTCCATGTAGCGTCTGACCGTGTATTTTTCTAGACACAAGGCAACATCGAGGAAACTAGGTAGGTACCCTTTACCGCTCGATATCACAGAGTGAACACCTGTCAAATCTCAGGTCCATCCACGGTACTTTAGAATATGCACGGCATCGGGAACTAATACGATGCCGAGAATTTGAGAAAACGGATTAGGGGGCATTACCATGATCTGGCCACAGTTCATCGTCACCCCTCTCCTACTGAGTCGTTCCATCTCAACATTTCATTTCTCATCCGATTCTCAGGGGTTGCCCTGAACCTGTACACCACCAGCTGTTCATGGCTGATAGATGAACGTGTCCTCTTGCCCTCTTTTTTCTGGTTGATCATCCACAGAAACCAGCGGAAGAGCGTAAACAGGGTAGAAGCGTTAGACTGTTCGAGGTGTTTTTTTTTTCCTCAGGGACAGTTCGGTGTCCGTCAAAAGAACGACGGAAACGTCAAGCAATCAAGTTTGTAACCCGGGAGTCGGCATACGTCCTCGTTTATCTCACGTTGACTACCTAATCGTGCTTGCTCAGTTTTGTGTCACCACCATTGCTAAGTGAGCCATACGGAGACACTCGCCCTCTTTTTCGTTTTAGGAAATGTTCCTGGACATGTAAAGACACTGACATATTTTGTGCCCTGTTCTTGCTTAGCCATTTGCTAGTCCGTCTTGGCTGCCATCATGCTATATTGCGGAGGCTGCGTAACTTGTCTGTCAGTGAGCCCCGGATAAATCAGCGCAAACTTTCTTTTGCCGGAGGGGTTGAAGGAAGTACGGAACGTAGAATACCACCGATATTCTGATCTTGGCTGCATCGTTGTCGATCGATATATAACATTCTTGACTGTGCCTCTTCCCTAGATCCTTTAAGCTTGGGTATAGTTGGCACAACCAAACTCGAAGTGAGCATCAGGTAGATGAGGTGGCGCGCTTAAAAGCCTTTTAGCAAGAAGGGAATCCGAGACCTCGCATTCAAGAAGGGAATCCGAGACTTCGCATTGTCTCCTGCTCGGTAAACGATAATCATGCGCTCGAACTTCCTACTAGGTCAGAAGCGGACCGAGAACGTATCTGGAGCTTGGGTGTAGCAATCCGTCGGGAAGAACAGAGTATAACAGTCTTAGGCATCTTCTCGTTTTCGAGGGTAGAACCGTGTAAATAGTTCACACATTTGATCTCCGTGTTTGCCGCGCTAAACATGCAACTGCCCACAACCTCCTTACTCCTTCTTCTCTTAGGAGGAGGACTTGCCATCGCAGCGCCCATACCAGAGGAATGCCACTCACCACACATTTTGTGTTTTGACGCTGTCAACCCCTGCGGCGTGATATACTCAGGGTGAGCTTCCTTCCCCTTCTCCTCCACAGACACCTGCCGACTCCCATTCCCTCTTCCCAAACGAACTAACACACCACTCAACCACTCTACCAGCTGCTACGACAAATGTAAACCCGAGACTCGTCCCCAAGCCCCAGCCTGCCCTACTCCTGCTCCTACTCCTTCTCAACCTCCATCAAAACCATAACCAAGACCATCGCAACCATCACCTACACCGGCACAGTTCCACCCGTCATACCAACCATCACCCAAAGCGTGAGCTTGACCACCCAAATCATCACCATCACTACCAACTTCGGGACGAAGGATAACTGCTCGACGAGGACGGTGTGCCTGGACTACGTGGATAGCTGTGGACAGACGTATGGCGGGTGTGTGCCGGATTGTAAGCCGTGACCTACGTTTTCGGCTCCGGCTTGTCCTCCGAGGGCTACTACTGCCGCTGTGAAGGCGGTTGAGATGGCTGAGGCGGTTGCTACTAGGGTTTGACAGGGAGGGAACTTGAAAAAAGCGGCGTGGTGTAAAATGCGTATGGTGTGGAATGAGTGTTGTTCACTGGAATAATCAATTCATGATCCTTCCGATCTAGCCTTTGTCCACGTTTTCAAGCTCGAAGACTTGAGACCTAGGAATATACATTGGCAAGGGCACGCTCTCCGACGGTGTTTCGAAGGATTCCGTATGCATTGAGCTTGGTCATCTCATTCGGTCATGAGAGTTTGGCCTCGGATGCGTGGAAGTAAGCTGTACAGTTGGCAGGGTGAAGTGTCGGAAGCAGGATGTTGTTTGATAAAGACGCCTTGATACTTGAATGCCGGGAATACTGAACAAAGCTCGGACCCGTCGGTCTGTACGATTTGCCAGTGGTTGCCAGTTGGCTCTGCGGCATGGGGCAGGTAGTGCCGCCGGGCACCGGGGGCGGCGTCTCGGGTAGGAGCACAACGACTGAGCACCACTTGTTCACTTTTTTGCGCCATCCCTACAGCTGAGGTGTCACGGCAAACTTGGATCGAGCTCTGTACGACCGACTTCCGTTTCGTCGTTTTTTGTTGTCAAACGTATCGTATCGTTCTTTTGCTGAATTGCTGTTTGTCGTCCTGGGATCAACGATCAACCAACTCACCGAATCCTCTTTCCGGTCACTTGGTCTCGAGAAAGACAACGCAATATCGGCTACGTAACTTGACCCTCTCTTTTCATCACCTCTCCTGCTCGCATTGAGGGGCTGAGAGGGGGGCAGATGGGACCTTTTGGATATCATCCCGGCATGCACCTCGTTGCGTGGTTCTGACAACGGGTTCCGGTTGGGTTGCCAGGTTGCATGGTCGACAGGCCACCCACTCACAGGCGCAGATGCAGTCACGCAGATACAGAAAACCAACCGGCATGGCATCGATCCCGGCCTTCCATCGATCCCGTTCGGAAATACTTATATAAAACTGCCTTGTTTCTTTCTTTGCCTCCACAATCTCTCATCCGCCAATCCATAGCCCTAGCCCTGCAGATCTCACAGGACGCATTCCCGGAAGATGAGATGTCTCTGGATTGTGAAGGAACAGGTTTCAATGGTTCATTGGGTTCAGTTGTCGTTGCCCCCTACACAGTATGCGTGTTGAGCCCCCCAGCCTCTGCCATGGAGATTTGATATCCGATATTCAATGGACCCCAACATCACGTTCTTATCGCGACTCCTACCCTATCTCCCCATGTATATCCCAAGGTATCAATGGTATCACCACCTCACCCATGGATCATATCGTCCATATGACAGCTAGCGCTGCCGAGTTACCCTGACGAGGTTAGGTTAGGCTCCCGGGCCGCATCACAATGGAACGGAAGCGTGCCTACGTCCGTACACTACGCAGTAGAAGTGTGCATATGTATTCGTGTCAAATATCACGTCGTTGTGCTGCTGTTTTCTTTGACTATTTTCAGCCCCGAAAACTGCCAGGTTTGTTTGCTAGCCTGGCTGTCTGGGAAAGTCTTCATCCAATAACGGCAGGGTCTCTTGACTGGGACAAGATCCTCCTGGTAAGCGCCTATCAAATTCTTGACCGACGGCACCTCTCTTTCAGGTAATGTACCTTACCCTTGACAAAACGGGAAATACGTTCGGTACTTTACCGGGACGGCGCTGTGTCAGCTGTGCTATTTGAGACCGAGCGTGGCTTCTGTGTCGGTGTCTATCAAGAGCTTCCTGTCCTCGGCCGGACACCCACTAGTCCAGACTCGGGCAAGGGCTACACTCTTTGGTGTACATACAGTGTTGTGCTGTGGTGTACTCGGGGTTACCTATGTCAGTACGACCTTACTACCAAGCATACTGTCAGAATGCACGGTTGAATCAAAGGTGGGTAAATCTCTATATTGTATATATATCTGGGAAGAATACTATGGAACTAGAGTTGGGGGCTCCCAGAGTATTAGGGGGTTCTACAACTATTTAGGGAGGCTAGGAGGCTAGTCCTCTTTTAAAACCTTCTCCTTACTAGCTAGATTTAACCCTTCAAACTAACACATCTCCCCAATTAAAGTCTTATAAAAACGAGACTACCTAAAAAAAAAAAAAGCTATTCATATAACCATCCCAAGATTAATCTCCTCGTTAATCTTATCCAACTCAATATACTATATTACGTTCTCTCTATTCCTTAATTCCTTATCCTTTACTAAATCCATTCCCAATAACCTCATAAACTCCTTATTCTTCTCTATATCTAATACCTTCGTTAACCCATCTACAAGTATTTTTACAATTTATAAATACTTAATCTTAATTCTCCTAATAAAGACCTCCTATTTTACCCAATATCTATAAATATCTACGTATTTACACTTAATTACTAACTTAATAGCCTCTATAATTAATACTCTAATTATCTATTAATTATTATAATTAAGCGTAAGGATAAAATTAACTAACCTTACAATAAGACTAAAAATTAGCCTTATTATAAAGATAGCCTCCTTTACTACGTTAATTACTATGAAGAATTCTACTTCTATCGTCGAAATAGCTATAATAACTTACTTAGTAGCGCCTTAATAAATTAAACTATTAAAGAATTTAATCGTAAAACTTTATAAACTCTTTCTATTTATAAAGTTATCAGCAAATAATAAATTTAAAGTAATACGAAGAATATTATCTCCTCTAAAGCAAAACGCTATATTAGCGGTTGTATAAAAATAATAAAGCACCTTATTTACAACCTTATAATAATTTAGACTAGGGTTATAACTATACTTAAAAAAATAATTTATAATAAAAGTAATATCAAATCGAATAATAATAGCAGCGTAGAATATCAACCGTACTTTAACTTAATAAAAACAAATTAAATAAAGGGAAGCTCTACCTTAAAAGGGGACGAATTCGATATTTAATATAAAAATTACTATAATTTTCTTATCGCTTACAAACTAATAAATTTTTTATAAATATAAATATCAAGAAAACCAAATCTTCCTTACTTAATAATTTCAAATAATTTTAATACCTAAAAACTATTATAATTCGTCTCCTCTAATTATATAATATTACTAACTAAAATTATCCATATATTCTTAAACTCTAACTATATAATTAGAATAATAAACGAAAACAATATTATTAACGTAATAAAAAACGAATATACCGTTATTAATAAGGATGTATAATTCTTTAAGGACTAGCTCGAAACCTATAGTCTTAAAAATACTTATAAACTCTCGTTACTAAAAGAAGAGAAACCGCCACAATTCGTACAAGGCCTTAAATACTTTAAAACCTTCCCTAAGACCTCGTACCCTAAAGGCATACGTATATAAATATCTATTCATATAGGTATTAATGAAGGCATTAATAACGTTATACTAAATAAGTTCGAAATTAAACCGAACGGCCATAACAATAAGAGTACAAAACAAACGACAAATGAAGGTAGAAGTATATATCTCCTACCTAACCTTCTTTATTTACTAATTTCTATATACAACGAAACGAACTTTAACTTTATTAAACCTACTATTCTTAAAAAACTTATATATATATACCTATATATAATCGAAGATTTATTTACTTCGAATATAAGGTTCGTTCCTATCGACCTCTAACCAAATCCTTATCTCCTTATAACTATTAAAATAGGTTTACTCTACTTATTTAAAGAGGTTCCTAAAAATATAATAATTAAAAGATTTATAATTCTTAAACGCTAAGGGAAGATAAAACTAATAAATAAACTAAATTTTACCTATACTTATTAATATATCGACTTCTTCTTTAATAATAATTTTATAATCGTAGAAAAATTATTATAATCCTACCTTTATAACGGGCTTACTATTATATATAGTTATAAATTAATAAAATCTACTAATATTAAAGACCGCCTTCTAAAATTCGAAACCTTCGCAAATCTCTTCCTTAATACAAAGGTCAAAATAAAAGCCAATTAAAAATAAACGGATAATAAACAAATTTATAACAAATTTAAAAAAATAAAGTATTTGTTAAATATAAAATTAATCGATATAAAATTATTTACGACTTTTAATTAGGGCTCTAAAAATATACTATCAGTCTCTCCTTCTTAATAAGTTTAATTTTAATCAAATTCGAAAAGGGAACTAGAAATATTGTACGCCTAAGTATCTTCGAAATCGACTCGCTACTAATAAAATTAAGAATTTCTAATACTAGAGCTATCTAATTATACTTCTAAAATAATACAATAAATTCGTTAAATAAAATCTTTAAAGATTATACTTCTATAAATACTTCCCTAAAATAGACCGTATTTTTATCGAATAATATATCGTAAATATTAATAATTGTATTAGTAATAAAATTCCAAATACAATAAATAAATAATACTACGTACCTAATAAAATAACCGATCTATATTTTAAGGTTCATCTTCTACAACCTCTCCTCCTTTTTTTAAGTAGCGGTAATTATAGCGAAGGCCTTATAACTATACATACAAAAGTAGAAAATACTTAATTTACGTAGGGTTACTGATTATCCGTCTCGTTTAATATTAAAAATATAAAATCGTTCGTATAGGGATATCCAATCGTAAAGGAGTCTAAGAAATCGATTAATTAAATAAACTATTATAAAAATAACATCCAACTATAAATTTTTAGAAAAATAAGAATTCTATAATATCACTCTAATTTTTTCCTGAATAATACTTCCTAAACGTTCTACGCTACTATTCTAAATTTAAATATATAGAATAAAAAGCTCAATAACTATACCTCTCAAAATAAAGAATTCTTTCATTGTACGAAAGCCGTTAACTTCGTTATTATATTCGATAACCTTAAATTAAATATTATACCGAGTATTCAATACTATAAAAAGATCGTTAAAGAAAGAAACAATCGTTATTACTTTACAATCTATTATATAATAATCCTAAATATACCTAATATATCTACAAATAATAAGTATTACGCTAAAATATCCCTAACAACTCTTCGTATAGTCGAAGAAGTCT